CAACCACCCACTACAAACACACACAAACACCAACTCAGACATCCACCTAATGAAACACATTGAGTAACTACAACACAAGAACCGAAGAGAGGGGAGTGTGTATGTATGTGTGTGAGTGTGTGCGTGTGTGGTGGGAAAGTAAATGTATGTGAGAGCTCTCCTCTCTGTGTGTATTATAATAGCCTGATGTGCGTCCCCTTGTAAATGCGCTGTGTAGCCTGTGCTCTCGTCTTGTTGGTGTTTAGGTAGATTCCCTGACCCCATACCGCTACACTTGTTTGTTTTGCGTTTTTATTTTGTCATGTTTTTCCTCTTGTTTGAAGAACAAATCATCTTTTTTGTTGTTGTTTTCCTTCAATTTTGGGACCATTTCTAATTCTAACACTGATGTTGAGGACCTAACTGTAAAAAAACATGCATTTTTTTGCTTTCATTGATTATTTATGAAAATTTTGAAATGTTCATGAAACTATTTCAATCGATCAAAGTCTTTATTGAAATCCCGATGGTCTATATATATATATAAATACATGTATCAGAAATATATATCTGTATAGGTAGGTGAATTGCACTGTGGGTAATTTGTGCTTGGAGTTCCTCTGGATGTATTCATTGGTTACCATGGAGATCTGTTAGTCTGTTTAAAGATATTGGTGTGGAAGTTTACAGAGCGTGCGATTGTGAGTGTATGCACGCGTATGTTTGTGAGTGTGAATGTGTATGTTTTAATTCTAAGGTGACATTCTTTGAACATGTGTAGCGTTATACCTGTAGTTACTACTGTTTCTGGTTGCATTGATGGGCAGACACCAGCCCAGCCCGTCCTGTTTCCAAATAAAATCTCCTCAACTTCCTCTGCTTCTTTCTCTGCTTTTGTTTTATTCATTATCTCTTCTTCTTTTTAAATGTTCACTTTAGATCACTATTTAAAAGTGAACCAGTGTGCATTGGATGCACACCCACAGTGAATATCTTATGTGTCCTTTAACTGCTCAAACACCTCTTGATGCAGTGTTTGTGTTCGTATTACAAAGCTTACAGTAGACACACTGTTTGGTGCTTACAGTTTCCACAGTGAGATTTCTGAATTTAACAATTTCCACTAACAGGTTCATAATTCATTCGAAAAAGAATCATTTCCTCAAGTACTTGTGTGTCTCAATACTTTGGCATACACTGACATCTCACTGAGGCAAAAGAGGAAGAGATTGTGCACAGGGTGTCCTGAGTGAGGGATTAGTCCCCAGGTTACCATCTGTCTGTCACAATTTCTGTGCTTCTCATAGAACTACTACACTGCACCCCCCACCCTGCAGTCTTGTGCTTCTGTTGGCCACAGGGTGTGCCGTAGAGCACTGAAGCCATGCTTATAGCGTTATGTCCTTGTGAAATGTTCAACAAGATGAATGCTGTGGATTTAGGACTGATCTTACAGAAGTAGCACTGTAATCATCAAAAACCTGTGTGGAGTTGGAGCAGTGCAGTGCAGTGCCGGCTTTAAGGCAGATCATAGACAATCCGTATGAATTTCTACTTGATCTAACTGGTCCTAAATCAGTGAATCAGACAGCAGGAAATAATGCTGTATTTGCTTTGGAATGATCAGAATTACAGTTATGTACATGATTGTTGGTGAAAATTAGCAAAACGGCCACAGAAAACAAATACTGTTAGCTATCATTTGTAATGATGATTCATGTACTTTTATTAAAGTGGAATTACATTGATTTTTCAAAATGTCCGCACAATCATTAGGATGTAAACAAGTCAAAATGGTTTCATATGAAATGCGCCAGTCTAGAAGAACTTGCTGAGTCACAGGAACCAAATGTCCAAATCATTTAATACCTTAAAAGCTACCTAAAAAGTTATTAAACATGACGTATTACTTATGTGCTCCCTGATGCCTGAGACATTGTTTTACAGCAGTTTTGCAATAAGGTTTGCCACATGCATGAATGTATATACAGGGCCTAGTTAGGCCAAATGGATTTTTTCAGATTTATTATTTTACTATTTTACCATCGTCAACATGTAAACACTCAAAAGATGCTTGTAGGTTTTAGATAGTAATACAATTGTTATATCTGCATTAGAGACATTGCGACCCCTGTTTCCTGTCACCACGATTGTACGTAAATCTGAGTTGATAAGTTTCTCTACAGTGCCCCATTTCACATGAAAACATGCTGAATGACTGAGTATATCTTAAACCATTAAGAACTTTTGAAATTCTGATGGAATTCCCCTTTAATAGTTTAGCAGGACATGACCATACATCTCTTTACAAATACAAACTGTATAATAGTTCCCACTCTTTGTTTTTAATGTATTTTTTTTTAAACTAAATGATTTATTGAGGATAAAGATTTGTTCAAAACCTGCATAGCCCATGTGAAAAAGTAATTGCTCCCTAAACCTAATAACTGGTTGTGCAACGCCTAGCAGTAACAGCTGCAATCAAACATTTGCAATAACTTGCGATGAGTCTTTTACATCACTGCGGAGGAATTCTGTCCCATTCTTCTTTACAAAATAATTTTAACAAGGCTTCATTTGAGGGTTTTCAAGCATCAACTGCCCATTTAAGCTCTAGCCACAGCATCTCAATGGGATTCAAGTCAGGACTTTGACTTGGCCACTCCAAAACCTTAATTTTGTTTATTTTCAGCCATTCAGAGGTGGACTTGCTTGTGTGCTTCACTGTACTGCCACATAACCCAACTTCTTGATTCTCCTCCAGGATTTTCTGATAGAGAATAATTCATGGTTCCATCAGTTGTGACAAAATGTCCAGGTCCTGCAGAAGCAAAGGAGCCCCAGACCATCGCACTACCACCACCATGTTTTATTGTTGGTATGATGTTCTTATAGTGGAATGCAGTGTTAGCTTTACACCAAATGTAATGGGACCCATGTCTTCCAAAAAGTTCCACCTTTGACTCATCAGTCCACAGTATATTATCCCAAAAGTCCTGGGGGTCATCTAGACGTCTTTTGGCAAATGCAAGATGAGCCTTTGTGTTCTTTTTGGTCAGCAGTGGTTTGTGCCTTGCAACTCTCCCTTGGATGCCATTTTGCCCAGTGTGTTTCTTATTGTGGAATCGTGTACATTCACCTTATCTGAGGCAAGTGAGGCCTGCAGCTCTCTAGATGTTCGTCTGGGTTCTTTCATGACCTCCTGGATGAGTTGTCAATGCGCTCTTAGTGAAAGTTTGATAGGCCAGTCCACTCCTGGGAAGGTTCGCCACTGTTCCAAGTTTTCTTCATTTGTGGATAATGGCTCTTACTGTGGTTCGCTGGAATCCCAGAGCCTTAGCAATGGCTTTGTAACTCTTTCCAGATTGATGGATTTCAGTGACTTCACATCTGTATTTGAATCTCTTTAGTATGTGGCATCATGTGCTGCTTTTTGAGAACTTCTAGCCTGCTTCACATTGCCAGACAGGTTCTATTTAAGTGATGTTTAGATTCAACAGGTCTGGCAGAAATCATGCCTGGGTGTGGCTAGTGAAATTGAACCCAATAATCAATTGAATATGGTTAACTGGTTGATTTAGTAGCTGAAATGACTTTTTCACATATAGCTAGGTTGGGCTAAACAGCATTTTTCCTTCAACGAATGAAATAATCATTTAAAAACAGCATTTTGTGTTTACTTGGGTTATCTTCGTCTAATTATTACAAAATTAATTATTAATTAAAATTAATATTAAAAGTAGTTCTGAATTCCTGAAACATTCAAGTGTGGTAGATATGCAAAAAAGAAGAAATTGGGAAATACTTTTTCACAGCACTGTAAATGAGGCCCAGAGGAAGATCAAGGCCAAGACTGAGTCCAAATGAAGACCGTGACTGAAATTGTCCTGTAATTATAATGAATGAGCTGTATCTATGTACAGAAGCTATGACTGGCCAGGATCTGCTAATAATGTACATCAATAATGCAGAGTAATATGTTGTAACCACAGTTTTCTTTCTAGTTTGTGGAGACAGAAAAAAAGGAAACTCAGAAAACACAAACCTTCAAAAACCACATGCAAAAGCATACAGACGTATGCAAAAGTTTGGGTGCCCCTGGTCAAATTGCATTTTGTTGCTTTTCTAAGCGAAAAGGGTCAACACGTCCTCTACGGAGAACAACAAACTTCTACAGATTTGAATGCAAAATCATTTACATCATGTACAAAATCATTTTAATGCAAAAGGAATTTACCACTTTGGAAAAAATAATAAAGCCTAAAATGTGGTCCTGTGCAAACGTTATAGCACATGTTATGTTTTATTTTTATATCCAATATGTTAATCACAGCAAAGAAATACAGATTGTACACTAAAACTTGCAGGTAAATGCCATATTTAAGTGCGTTCTCTGTATGGGGTTTATTTTCACTCAGAAAAACAACTAAATGTGTAATTTGACCAGGGGTGTTCAAACTTTTGCATATGACTGTACAAGGACAGAAGCACCCCAGGCAAGACTGTAAATGTACTAAATCTGGGCAACACTGTATGACCTACTTCAAATCTATAGTACAGGTCCAATTAGCAAAATTAGCTGAAAACAGCATTAATCAGGATTGTCTATTGCGTTCAAAATAAACAAGGCTAAGAAAAATCGCGTTTATAAAACAAAGAAACTAAACTAAAACATTAAGCGCCGCACATTTTAGGAGTTAAAAACAAGTCATACAGGATCTCTCAGGCTGACGGGGAGGGGCAGACCCCTTCGCATGAGGACTTGAGACCCCACAAATCCTGCAGATTTTCATTCGCTTGTAAGGTTAGGACGAAGAATTCGTCTACATCAGGAACAAAACTCGAGTTATGTGCTGATAAACAGAGCCTGGGGCAAAATCCCGTCAAGGATTAATACCACACAAATCGATTCTGGGTCAGTACTGAGCGACCCCATTTCACTGCCTCCTTCCCGCCGCCTGTGGCTCGGTTTCTACCTCGTAGCGCAGAGAGAAGATCTAGCGGAGGGATATAAAACCTGCTTTAACGACCAACCTTGAGACCAGCGTGGCATTAAATGACAAGTGACTTTAACCAATGTCTTCGGACGCTCCAAAAGCGACCCCACCCGTTCAGACGGGTGACCAATCCCTCCTCCGGCCTGCGCGGGTAAAGGGGGCTGGACTCCGGCCCTGTATTGTTTACGTCCGTTGCCAAAAGTAGGTCATAGAAAGAGTGTGACAGCTAGCGGCGAGAAGACTTGGATGTTTTTACAGAAACGTTTTTCTAGGCTGTATCTCGGCTGGCTTTAACATCAAGTTACGCCTGTGGAGAGACTAAAAAGGACCCGGCGGACTGCTAGGCGACCTCTACAAAGCTGGTAAATGAGAAATAAGCTCGCTGGAGCCTTTCAGGCTGACATTGTCCCGGGTTTACAGGGACCGTAGGCTGCTAATGCTAACGTAGGCTAACTTAGTGGTCTTGCTAACGCTTCGGATATCGCTCATTCAGCGCCGAATAACTGCACTTGTACGATGCCGTGTTTTTCTTTTGCTACCCGGCTACTGATTCAGGTTTATTGAAACTACTTTTAGACATGAAGAGGACTGCGAGGAGCCCTAAAGCCGCAGCCGAGCTAGTTAGCTAGTTAGCTGAACACCTCGACTAGGCCGAAAAACAAGATTTCATGATGTTTTACCCAGATTCTGTACATTCACTGTGTCACTGTGTTTGCCAGGCATATGTTTCGCTAAGCATTAAATTGTGCGCAAAGGAACGAGGTTGAAGTTGGCCTCCTATTCGCCCGCTTCTTGTTCTAATTTCCCGTCCCACCTTAAATGGTGCAGCAGTTACAGGCGCCAGAATGTAACTGCGAAGAAGAAGCTGATTTCAGCTTCGTCGCGAAGCACTGTTCAGTATGCATCTTTAAAATACCCGTTTGCGGTCGAGTGCCAAAGTGGCTTGGCTTGTGCGCAAATTGGATTGCATTGCGCTGGCCGTGCAAACTCGTGGCTAGGCGGTGGAAACAGTGCTCACAGGTCCGGAGAAAATCACACTGCACTCTCAGACAAAAAGGCACTGAACTGCCCCTGGGGTGGTACCCCTCTTGTCACTGGGGTTGTACCCTCAAGGATACGTCTCCAGTACCTTTAGTTAGGCAAGGCAAGTTTGTTTTTATAGCACTTTTCATACACTGCTGTCATTCGAAGTGCTTTAGAAGTGAGAAAATGCATTTAAAATACATTTAAAAAGTCATTTAAAAAGTGAAATAAAGCCGATTAGAAATTAAAAACATGATTAAAACAATAGACTGAAAAGAGAAAATCGTTACATTAAAAATTAGAAATTAGAATAATTAAAAACTAAATGAAAATTAAAAAGAGAACATTATTGGGATCATTAGGGAACGTTATTGTACCATAATCCATTGCTGTTATATTTTTTTAAGTTGTATTGACTCCGTACACCCTGTCTTTTCTCCACCCTTTTTCATTTATTGTTCTGATTTGAAACATTAGGTTATTAAAAGGTTCAAATACGTACCTTTCCTCTGAAAAAAACTTTATTTAGGAGGCACAATTGGAACTTAAAACCATTCTTGTACCTTTGAGGCTACATTTACATTGTTTGTACCTTGATGAACAAAATTGTACCTGCTCAGTACTTTTTTTTCTGACAGTGTGTGTTTTGTTGTTCCTCAGTGTGTGTAGCTAAAGAAGTAGACAGGCCCTGCAAGTTTGTAAATGGACATGCTGTTTCTGTCAGCCTTGCATTTAAAGAATGAGGTGAAGGGGCTCACCTACATTTAGACTGTCTGGTTTTCGTTTTGCATGTATGAGGACTTAGAAGTTAAAGCCTTCAACATGCTCTTTGTTTGTTTAGTTCTACCTAACTAACTCAATCAGACGTACTTCTAACTTTTATTTATTCTTTTTTGTAAACTAAGTCATTTTGAGTTGTTTGATGTGAAATGCTCTATTGTAGAGAAACGTGCAGATTTATTGTCAGCAGTGGTGATAGGAACCAGATGTCTGAAGAGTTTAATACCTCTAAAAGCCACATCAAGGAAATTTATTACACAAAATGGCTACAGATGCTCCGCCTGATGCCTGACATTTTGTTTTATGTTTGTCTTTAGAAAACATTTTGGGCTAAACCACATTTGAAAAGTTAGCTCATGGCACAAAGGGAAATTCCATGAATGAATTTATTATAAGGCAAAGTAGTACCCCAAGAAACAATATTTTTATCAAATTTCTCACTATTTTACCATTATTAGCATTACATGTGCATCTTCTGAGTTTTTATGTAGGTTAACTGGAAGTTTTGGATACTAAATAAAATGACTTTCTTGTGTTCATAGCCCCTGGCTCCAGTTGCCACCACTGTAAAGAAGTCTGAGTCAGTAAGTTTCTCTACAACGCACCATTTCACATTAAACCGCTCTGAATGACTTTACATCTCAACTCTTTTATCATGCAGAAATTCTAAAAATATTGTGGAACTCCCCTTAAACAAGCCTGCCATGTGCTTAGTCAGGTCTGTTAGTGTAGGAAAACACAAGAATGTGCAGAGCATGGGGTCCAAAGGACTGAGTTTAAAAAAATCATGACACACTATAATTTGCTGGTCACCAGCCTGACTCTTGGGAATCTGCCTTCCTGCTGATCGTAGGTCTTTGAAAGGCCTTGATTACTGAGATGAGTTAGGTGCAAGATAGATGTCCAGGAGGATGGTTGATGATCAGTGTTTGATATGGTCCCAGGTGTGGTGGCCTTTGGCTGGCATGTCCAGGCGCAGCAGGAACAGTCGGGCGTGGCGGTACGTGTGGAGTGGAATTCAGCGTGATGCAGATGCAAGAGCACTGGTGCTGGCCTCAGAGAGCGAAGAGTGGGGCTACGATCGCCTACAGGTGTGTGTCTGTGCATCTGTGTACTTACCTGACATGAGTGGCATTTACAAACAGTACTTAATGCCTTGACAGAATCCACATTTTAATAGGACTGTAACAATGCTCATATTTTCAGGTTCAGTATGACTATCCATTCTGAGGTCAAGATTTAATTTAATTTTTATTATTTCACAAATAACTTTATTTTGCAGAGCTCTAGTTATATACTACATGGATTGGTTTAACTTGCCAACCCTTTAACATAATACGCCTCAAAAACTGCAACCCCTATCATTTCTAAGTGACTACAAAAAATAGCCCAGTCATTTGAGCCTGCGTGCATGTATAGCAGAAGGCCCTCCACTCCCGCTCCCCACAGACTTTACTCTGATGAGACTCCAGATAGATAACAGGGGTTAAGATAGATTAATGTTTCCCAAGCCCAGGTCTGAAGTGCCTCCTGAACTGTATATTTTGGTCTTTTCTCTGCAATAACACTTCTAATCCAACTAATCAGTTAATTATCAAATGCTTTCTGAGCATGAAAATTTGGAAATGTGAAAGGTGGGTGCTCAACGGAATGAGAGTTGTGAACCACCAATGTAGATACTTAGTTAAATCATATAGGGTCAGTTTCCTAGACAGGGAGTAAGTCTAGTTGTGTACTACATGAGATTTTCCATTGAAAGGAAAATATTGTCCATTACTAGGTTTAATTCTTCTTCTTTTTTCAGTCCAGTAAACATTGGGTCTTTTTCACCAATTGTTTTTTTCTTAAGAAATATCTTCTTAAAATACACTTATGCAGTTTTCACATAGATTCTGACAATCACCAAAGTTTTCTTATTTAGGATTTGTTCTTAGGTGACAATAGAATCTACGCACACTTACAGTTCCGTGGTTTAAGAACATGTCATGAATCTGACGTAGACTTTTTCTTATAACAACAGCAAATTTAAGAAACCAGTTAAGATAATATTGGTGAATGAGGCCCATTGATTATTCAGACAATGACAGATGTTTTACATTTTTTTGCCCTGATTTTATTTCGGTGTCAAACATTGTTATGCTGCACTTTGCATTTGTATCACAGACAGAAATCATAGCAGACACACTGTTGGAACAGTCAGTTTAGAAGACTGAAAACTGTTAAACACATCTAATTAACCATGTTTTTGTGTTCTGCAGTACAGTGACTCTGACTCAGAAGCCGAGTATTCTGCTATCGTGCCTTCAGTACCCAGTGCAGTGCCAGTAACTGGAGAGTCATACTGCGGCTGCGACTCGCAGATGGAACCCAGCTGCAACCCTCGTCTGCGCAGTTTCCCACGCCTGCGGGACTGCCACTGTGGTGAGGATGACCAGGGTAAGAGTACGCCAACGGTCTGCCTTCTGGCTCTTGCATTTCCTTAGTGTGCTTAGCGTAGCTCTTTAATTGATTTAACTCTGACTTGCTGAGTCTCTGGTTGGCTTTGCTGTATTTGTGTGCATGTGCCAGAATTTGACTGGGTGTGGGACGAGGGCAGTCGGTCAGCAGCCACACTGTTGAGCTGCGAGAACAGAAAGGTGAGCTTCCACTCGGAATACAGCTGCGGCACAGCAGCCATCCGCGGATCCAAGGAACTCTCAGAGGGACAGCACTTCTGGGAGATCAAAATGACCTCTCCTGTCTACGGCACAGACATGGTAAGGCCTGAGTGAGTGTTTTAGTTTAGTGAATCCAAGTAGTTTATTATAAGAATTCTTGAAAGTGTTTTTGCATTACCATAAATCTCAGATAGACTTGTTTATATTTCTGGCACTAAATGACACACTCTTATGACATTATGGAAAAAAAAAACTTGCGTAGCTAGAAACAGTAGTAGTGTCCATCTTGAAGCTGGAAATTTGTCCATACTACATAGATAACTGTGTCAGAAACCACATAAACACGTCTATTTACGATTATAAGCTTTTATTACTTGTCAGCTGCACTCCCAGCTTCATTCCAAACCAAAAAAGTAAAATTCAGACACCAAGCATGTCTTGTACGGATAAGGAGAAAATTGTTTAAATTAGATTTTAGGATGAACCATTGCTTTAATTGAATGTGGTCTGTGTGATGGCTATAATGGTGTGCCTGGAATAGCAAAAGAAAGTTAAGCAGCTTATTGGAGTTCAGTGGAAAATAAGTGACACAAATCAAAGATTTGTCCCAGCTACTGACTGACACATTGCCGGCGAATTACACATGTGCTGAATGGTTTGCTATTATAAAAGCAAGCAGCTGAAATGTAGACTGTGAGAAAATAATTAACTTACTGCATGTGTTTTGTAGATGGTAGGCATTGGCACATCAGATGTGAATCTGAACAAATACAGACACACATTCTGCAGCTTACTGGGTAAAGATGAAGACAGCTGGGGCCTGTCATATACAGGTAAATATAGGTGAAATTTGATGCAGTAGTACATACAGCTCAGTGAAGCATGTGTCATGGAACTTATGAGTGTTTTTTTTTTTTTTAGGGTTGCTACATCATAATGGTGACAAGGTGAGCTTTTCATCACGATTTGGCCAAGGATCAATCATAGGAGTTCATCTGGACACCTGGCATGGGACACTTACCTTCTTCAAAAACCGCAAATGCATTGGTAAGAGTCCCTTCTCTGCATATCACAGACACTCTAAGTATTAGGGATCTTGGGGAGATTGTACAGGTATTATTTATGTGCAGAGTTGGATACAGGAGCCTTAACCCATACTCAGTTAAAGCATTCTTGTTGCAATGAAATAGTGATTCAAGTAGAAGTAAAAGTGTCTTTCCAAGAAAACAATTTAAGTAGAAGTACAAAAGTAGCAGGTAAAAAAAAACTACTTAAAGGAAAAAATCTAATTTACCCAGTTTTCTGTTTACTCCAGATGCAGTTGAACAGCCAAGACATGTTTGGAGCCCACATTTTGCCTAATGTTGCTAACAAACATTTGAACTTGGTAATTACTCAAACAGCCAAATTTGTTTCCGTGGAAAAAAAAAAAACACCAAAACCTCTCTTCAGTCACATCCAGATCTTCATTAAGGTTGTGCAGACTTGTCAGTGTGCTTTAACACACAGTATGACTTACTGCGAGCTATAAAAATGAACAGAACTTCACTGCTGCAAGCAGCCAGATCAGGGCTAGTATTTACAAAATACTACAAAACATTTATAAAATGTTTTATGTATTGGCATAGTCATAAAACCAGCAGGATAATTCCGCTATGGGCTTAACTTTTTATAGTACACAGAAATTAACCTGTTCAAGAGGAGGCAAGTGTTGTGGAGTGCTGTTTGTTGACCTCGATAATAATCCATAGAAGAGAGCAATTGTTAATCACAATTAGATTTCTGTTGTGGTGTTGCTTTGCAATTTTACTAGGCTTAAAAAATTCTTTCCAGCATTGTATGTTTTTTTTTTTGTTTTTTTTTGACCATGTTCTTACAGTAAAGATTTCCAGTATGTACAGTATCTTTAAATATGTGTTTGTATACACACATTGTAGGTGTAGCTGCCACGGAGCTGCAGAACAAGCGCGTGTATCCAATGGCATGCTCCACGGCTGCCAAAAGCAGCATGAAGGTGATCCGCTCTGTCTCCGCCCCCACCTCTCTCCAGTACCTCTGCTGCTGGCGTCTCCGCAAGCTCCTCCCCTCTGGGGCAGACGCCCTTGGGGTCCTGCCCCTGCCACCCGGACTTAGGCACCTCCTGCACTCCAAACTCGGCTGGGTGCTAAGCTTGGACCACTCGCATCCACGCACAAATTCGAACGCTCACACGCCGCCTGGGCCCTCGTCAGGCAGCGACTCGGAAGGCTGTGCTTCTGACCCTGAGGCCTGCCAGAGGAAACGCTGCCGCTGGACCTGAGGCTCAGATTCTCTGACAAAAACGCATACATGCACACTCTCTCTCACTTAACACATGGTCAATCTATCCCATTGTACAAACTCAGTTATTTTATTTTGATGCTATCAATAGATGGAGCTGGCTGAAAAACGAACCTTTGAAAAGAAACATTTTCAGTCAAGTCAGTTGCACATCTCATGCACCCATTTTAACACACACACTCTATTCTTGAGCATTAACCTCTGTGAAACTGTTGAAGTTGCATTGTGGTGTGTGGAGAATCACCAGACATGCAAAATAGCACTTTGTTTATGTGCGAGGGCATGTAAAACTCACGAATACGTATTAGGACTGGAGAGTGAACTGACTTTCCTTTCCATTTGACTCTTCTCCAGTGCATTGGGACAGAAGATAATGCCACTCTATCCCTTATAAACTCTTTAATAAGTCATCTTGATATTCTCTTCATCCATAACTCTCAGCACTGTGCCCATACTGTTTGTAGTGCATCAGAGCTTGGATCCATGATGGATAAAATAGACGGTATTGGACAGGTTGGTTTAGTTGTCAGCCATTTGATGCACCATTCAGAATGTGATTCACCATCCAAGTTAGCTAACAATGTGATTAGACAGCGAACCTCATCAGCATGCCATCAATGTTGAGTAAATTGAGCCCACTTGAATGGAACTGGTTCTCGAGAAAGGTGCTAAATGTGACAAACTATAGCAATTGTCTTGTTTACGTGACTATGTCACAGTATGACATTATATGGCCGTATTTTAAATGTTTTTGCCATGTGCAGGCATCAACTATAAACACCTGGACCAGAGCAAACAACCCTAAAAATGCAAAGCCAGCCGTCTTTGACCCATTTAATGGTAAATGTGTACCAATTACCATCAAAGAGTTGGCAGTCTCTGCTAAGTTCTGTCTTTTTAGGGTTCAAGCACGCAGTTATTGTACAATGTAAAAATGCTATTACAAGGTTAACAGATAAACAGTTGGTGCCATGTGACTCCAATCACTCACATGAATAACTGTAATTACATGTTATGTCAGAAATTGGACTGCTTTTCTGGTATTTTGGCTTATTCTTTCAAAGACTACATTATTCAAAGACTTACTATACAAAGGTCAAAAGGTCTAAAACCTGGTGTGCATCTTTGGTTATAATCCCTGATCAATAATCATATTGAGGCCTTTTGACAAATTCTGACCCCTTCCCTGAGCTCCTCCACACCTAAAGGGCCCCTTATGAGTGCATTGGGCCTTATTTTGGCATACATCAAAGGTTAAATATGTAGAACCAAAACACTTTTCAAATGCAACTATGTGAGAAATGCTGCCATTAGTCATGTAGTTTTGACATCTGAAGGCCTTTTGATGAACTGACTTGCTTTCAGTTCTATTCACTCTGCCTACAAATAAGGCCCAAACAGCTTGAGGCCTTTTTAGGCCTAATGAAACTGCAGAAGGGCTCATACTGCTGTTGCGTGCTTGAACCCGCTCATCGCCGCTTGGGGCTATATTTCAAATTATGTTTGTACTGTTCCACATTTAATGAGAGCTTTTAAAGTAGTTATTATGCTTAAATCATCTTATTCTCCATCACTTTGTCCAGCCAATCATGAAATGTATTGTTGTGTTATGGGTGTGGTCTTTGGCTTGGTGGTGGGAGATGGTCACACAGGTTAGGTTTAAAGATGCTCATTGTTTTTTGTTCACCAGTGTAGTAGTGCTGTTCCACAAACGTCCCTGTTAATTGTGTACTAATGTGTAAAACATTAGCACCTGCATGAACATAAGTTTTAGGAACTGCAATTTAAGCCTATTCTTGCCCTAATTTTCTGTTCCCTGGCTTAGAAACTGGTGCTCCGCACAATATGTTCTCTCTAGGGCCGCTCCTACCCTGATATGAAGCAAAAGCGCTTTTAGCAATCTTATGGACAGTCTCACCCCAAAACCCATCACTTGAGAGCAAACTCGCAGACCAACAAATGGGCAGCGTCAATGTCTGTGACATGTTGTCAGTTCTTTATATTCAGCTAGAAAAGCTGATTTTCTTAATTCAAATCTTATTTGAACAATGTACCTGCCCCCTTTCTTATAAGTATACTCTTACATCTCTCTATGAGGGTCATATTTAACCAGTATGGGGTCTATGTGTGTATAGGTTTTGTAATTCACAAAATCAAGTTTTTATGTTCTGCATTAAAGCACTTTTCTGCTTCTTGTATGTATGTAGAACTACATACAGATCCTCTATGCTGTGTTCTGTACATATTGTATGTAATAGCTTTTTCTCTCATCTGTCTCTCTTTGCTATATGTCATGCATGGCCTTTTATTTGGAGTATGATTAAAGGAATTGGAAGAAAATCATATATGCACAGGAAAACAGACTGGAGACGTAGGTTGCTGTTTTTTAACAAAAAATAATAAAGGATTAAAAAGCAGTGCTATTTGGTGTGGGCTCCTGTTGTGTACTACAAGTTCTGGGATGGGATGGGCCAATATGGAAACTGTGGGCTGATGCAAATGATTTTGTTTTTCCCTTTATGTCTATCAGTGCAGATACATCAACATTTATTTTGTATATTTTCACAATGCATAATATGCATCATGATAGTTTTTCTAAGGTTGGCTAAGAACAGGAAAAAAAGAAGCAGGAGCACCACATTAAAGCAGAAGCCTAGTTTATTTTATTTTATTCTGTTATCTTAAAACCTATGTCTGAAGCTCTTGTACGGAAATCCAGAGAAGCCATGAGCTGTTGCTATAATTTTCTGGATTGTTATCTTGAGATAACAAGATAAGTAACTCATGATTTCAAGATAACAATTTTGTTATCTTGAGATAACATGATAAGTAACTCATCTCAAAATAACAACTTTTTTATGTTGAGATCACAAGATAATTAACTTGTTATCTTAAGATAACAGCTTGTTATCTCGAGACAACAAGATAAGTAACTTATTTCAAATCACAATTTTGTTGTCTTGAGATGAGATAATGAACTCACACACATCTTCTAAGCCGCTTCTCTTTCCGGGTCGCGTGATGATTAACTCATTATCTCAGAATAACAATCCAAAAAATTATAACTGCCTCATGGCCTCTCTGGACTTCTGTACTCTTGAGATATAAGAGACCTGAATTTTTACTGGTGTAGACTTTTTACATTTACCTGCTAATTGTACATAAACACACAGTTTTAAGCAAAAGTTTGAACACCCCCAGTTTTTAGAAAATATACAAACGTTTGCGTACTACTTTACATATAGATCTATGCTTTGTTCTGTGCATATTGTATGGCTGCGTCCAAAACCGCTGGATACAACACTAAAACTTAAGTCAAACCTAGTACACCATCAGCAAAGTCCATTCATTTGTGTAGTATGTGTTGTATAGTAGTCAGCATAGCAGCCTATAGTAGCAGCCTGTGTTAGATTTTTCTATTTTTCTCTCTGTCTCTCCTTAATATATATATATATATATATATATATATATATATATATATATATATATATATATATATATATATCGCCTTTGAAATTAATATATTAAAATGTGATTTTAACTTTAACCTTTCCACGTACTCGAGCCGAGTCATAGGAACCATTAGTAGAGCCTCGTTTCCAAACGGAACGCTCGCATCGAAGCCCTCGTGAAGGAAGTTACGTTTCGTGGAGGTCAAGCGGAGGCGGGCGGCTGGTGGTGAAAGTCTCTGCAGTGTGAAGGCCGGAGCAGGTAAGAGGGCCGTGTTGGTGATGTTGGTGAAGATCACTGCTGGTCATTTCGTTTAGATGTTTTAGCACTGGGCTGTGTGTGGAACGTCATAGAGCGCGCTCCCGCTCTGAAACTACATACACGTGAGGCGCGTAACCAGGCAACGGCACGGGAGAACCTCACCAACCTGAACACTGTTTTCTGCCACAGATGTGTACATCTGAAAAACGATCAGCCTTCAAGGGTCCTTAGTAAAAGCAATAGTTCTGTTTAGAACCATGAGTTCTGTATAGAACCATTTCATGCTTAAATGCTTCTTCGCACGCTGAAATGGTTCTTCAGACTGATGGAGAATGTGTTGCAAATGGTTCTATAGCACCAGAAGGGGTTCTTTTAGTGTTATAAGCTTGACATCATAGAACCATTTTAGTGCTGTATAGAACCATTTTCAAAAAGGTTCTACATAGAACCATATACAACACATTCATTCATAGAAAGAACCATTAAAGCATGCAGTGGTTCTATGTAAAACTCATGGCTCCAAATAGATCCATTTGTTTTTACTAAAGAACCCTTTTTAGGAGTGTAGATTGCTGTTGTTTAGTATCTGAGATTCAGTTTTCATCATTACTGTGAGACATTCAGTGTAGGAATGAAATTAATCTTCATTATCAACCTGTAGGTGTGCAAACTAAGGCTGTAATGATGCACACATTTTCGATTCTGAGGTCACCATTCGATTAGTTTCGATGATTCTACAGAGATCTAACTATATAAGTATACAGATTTTTCAGGCTCATTTTATTTTGGAACAAAAGATTGCAAAGTGTCATATTCTTGTGTCAGTAATCTTACAAGACGGTGCAATTGATCTATAAACAATACAAAAGCCTGAACTGCCCCGGATAAACCTTATGTAGCATTCATAATAAATTGAATTGTCAAAATCAATGAAAAAAGAACACAACTAAAATATGCAGAACGCTGCAAGCTGTGCAGAATTCTGCTTCCTGCTCCAAACTCAAGTTTTTCAGGAGCATTTCATTTTTGGACTGGGTTCGATTTAGCCCTTGCAGGAAGTTTGATCTCCGTGAGCAGAGTTGGGTGCCTAGAACCTAGTGTATCAGTACATAGTGATACACGTCTTTTATTTACATGAGTGTCAGTGAATATGGTGGTGCAAATACTTTACACAGGACAGTCTGAAAAGAAATAACCACTATATCAGTGATTTCCACAGTCAGTCCTGGGCGCTGAAGCTCTGCACATTTTTGTGTTTTTCCTGCTCTACTGCACCTGACCCATCACACAAGGGTCTTGTTAATTAATTGGTAGTTGAATGAGGAGCAAAAATGTGCGTAGAGTGTGGGGTCACTGTCTGACTAGCTGCCAGGTATAGTACAGGCATTTCAAGGCTGAGGCTGTATCCACAGTGCTTGTCTGAATGATATAAGCTATAAGGTGAGGATCATAATTATATATGTTAACAAACTGCAAGATGGAGACAGAAGTGTTAAAAGTGTGTTGTGTCTCTCTTATAGAACCCTCTCTCCTTCCATTCTCTCCCTCAGTCACCATGGTGAAGAAGAAGCGGTTAAGGCTGATTGCCGAGATGGCCCGAAAGATCCGGGCTTACCGAGAGCTGAAAAACAGGCCGCGGGACTCACAGCGCTACACACTCGACTATGACACCATGACACGGCCGTTCACTGGTAAGAAGCTTCCGGTACTGGCCTGGAAAGATGTGCAGAGAGAGACGCCCCTCTTCACATTGTTGGCTGGCATGCGCATGTTTGGCGTGGGACGACTCTTCACCCGCAAATCATGGCTGGAGGAGCACACGGAGCCCTGCTATTGGAAGATAACTAAAGTGAAAGTAGATTACACAGCAGAGGTAGGAGACTTGCATGTATGGCTCTCTCTCTGTCTTGGACTGTATAACAAAAGACATTCCAAGACAAACGGGGAAACCCACAAAAGGTTAGTTTTTTAGTTTTACGCTTGTGAGCTTATTTAATAATTTGTGTGTCTTTTCTAGAATATGGACCATGGGAAAGCATGGGGAATTTTAACATTTAAAGGTAAGTATCAAGTGAAAGTATCAAGTGGTTTTTCCAAAACAACGCAAGTTTATCCAGTAAAAACGGATCTGTGCATTTTAAAATTCAAAGCATGTAGAACCAGTTATGTTCTGGGGATGTAATGATTCACATCTGCCAAACCTGTAACACATCTATCTTGAAATAGCACTCACCCACATTGTGTGAAGTCATGTTGTTTGCTGTGTATATCTTTTTATGGGCTAGTCTCGCAGAATTGGATCTCGTAATGAGAATACACATCAGGGGACAACTTGTAAACTTTTAGTGCTGGTTTGTGCTGCAAACAAGGGTATACCCCCTCTAAAACCCACCTCCAAATTCCTTTACTGTGCTGTTTTAACATCTGGAGTACAATGAGAACACAAGCAAAACAAGCTAGCTAGCGAAATTATTAGCGCTGTTGTTAATGGGGTTAACAAAGCTGTTTTCCCCTTGTAAGAGGCGATTTTTATTTTTATGTCGGGATCAAGGGGCTATCCCCTTCAACCCCAGGCCTCCAACATAATATTATGAATAAAATAGAAATCTTTTAATACTAGCTAAACACTTTCACTAATAACTGTTCTAAGTTCTCAAAACATGTCAAAAAGGAAAGAGTCTTCAGATGCTGAGTTTGTGGAAGAGGGAAAAAGGCTTCTTCTTTATTTCAGCATCAAGTGGCACAACCTGCGCAAACAGTGTTCCGAACAACAGTTTATATACCATTTATCTGGGGTAATTTGATATCCCCCCACCGTACTTCTCAAATTGTGATATTAGCTTATTCTCTAATAGGTGCATCTCTTCATCCATCAATTTGGCCATCGCATGATGAGCTCACTCCTAAAAACTGGTTTCAATAGGTTTTTACCAGTCTGCTTTACCTTTCAAGGTCAACTTGCTCCTCTCTTTACTGGGTCAGTAAGTACACACAGGCCTGTCTTTGAAACCAGGGGCTTTCAAGTGTCTAGAATCTCCTATGCAGATAAACTAAGGCCTACACTTTGTGAGAGAATTAATATTCTCTGTTAGCCAGTACTTCTTATTTGGTTATTGATTACAGTATCTAATCTATTTGATTACTGATTAAGGGAATACTTATTCAAAATCTCTGTCATTTACTGCATGTAATATGTTCTCTGCACACTCGACACACAACTGCATACTTAGTTGGAGTTTTAACTAACGTTACACCCCAAAATTTCTCATGGTTGTCCCCAGACGTTCTTGCTGCTAAATCGCATCTAGCCCTGCCAAACTATCTGGGGGTTAGTAGAGTAGTTTGAGCATGATGGTGTATTTGTAGATGCTCATCTAAGTGTTTTAATTAAAGACATCTCATTTTAAAGCTCAGTAGTTTTAAAAGAAAAAAATATTGGATCTGCATCAGCCGATACGCAAGGTTTCGATGTCGATATCAGAAAGGAAAAAGTCCCTCTCTAGTGACGTTTATAAAAATTTCTTGAAAGGATCAATGATGTCATTAGTTTGAATAGCAAATACCTTTTTGACCATCCAAAATATTAATACACAGCCATATGCAGCAGTTTGGGCCCCCTAGTCAAATGACATGTTTTGCTGCTTTTCTAAGTGAAAATAAGTAAACACATCCTCTGCACATTCTAATTTTAATCACTGGTTATTTGTTGAATTTAACATACTGGAGGAAAAAAAAACAAATTGTGGCCTGTGCAAAACTTAGAGCACATTTTACATATTGTGGCACTTATTAGATGTTCTAGTTATAAATGGTGTATTGCTTAAATGGATTGTATTTCAGGTAAAGAGGAGAGCTCTGAGCAGGAGATGGACAAGGTCATGTACCATGACTGGCGACTGGTGCCCAAGCACGAGGAGGAGGCCTTCAAGCACTTTGAGCCCGTCCCTGAGCCCCCTGTCCGGCACGTATGCTACCCTCCACTCCTGCGGGCCATGATCCTGGCACAGCAAGCCAAGCAGCTGGGTGTGGATGCCAACAGCCTGCTGGAGCCCACCCTGCCTCTTCAACGAGATGTGCTGCTAAGCAGGGAGTACTTCCGCAGCCAGGAGGAAAAGCGGAAACAGGAGGGAACTCCGGTGTAATGCCAAGTGGAGAGTGGAATGGTGGTGACATTCTTGCACCAGTAACTTTGGCAAGCGTCATCTGGCCCATTCTTTTCAAAATAATGATTAATTGGTATTAGCTCTGGGTGGAAGCTGATTTAAGATGAGCTTTATACACCCAAATGCAAACCCTAATCATTATGAAAGAAATGGTCTGCATAGTGCACACAGTGTTTGTGAAATCTAAAGCAGCTCCTCATCAATTTGCTTTTGTTTCAGAACTGCTTAGGTTGTTTTTGGTGCATTTGAGTCAAACCACACAGAGTTGGGAGGAAGGGGTCATCTCTGTGTGTAATGTTGTATATTGTGCGCTACGATGATGACATTTGTGTTATAAATGTGATACGGCACATGATATGTGCTATATAAGTGATGACATTTGTGTTTATAAATAAATATAAGCCAGCTAGTGGTCTGCCTGTGTACTTTTGTTTTGCACTGTCATGAACTTAAAGGGGCTTTCTAGCCTAAAACTAGCATTTAATGTTATTTGACATGTTACATAATATAATGTAGTGCATTATTATATCGCTCAGCCTCATCAGTTTTACAGATTCAACAATTTTGTATCCTTTTTGTGTTTTCATCCATCAATGTTATTTTGCTGCAATATCCAGCATGTGCCATAGAACCATTGGGGTTAAACGCTCTTTAATGCTCAGTCTAAATTTTTGATTTTCTCTTTGGTTGACTTGTAGCTAACGCATTATTAAGAAGGTCCTCAGGGCCATAGTTTTGCCACTCATCTAGGCCAGCGGTGGAGAAATGCGGTCCTAAGGGCAGTAATGAGAACTTTCTGTGAACTTATGTAAAAGCTGCTTGGCATGCAGGCTTCAACAGACTTTGCCTTTGGAATTAGACAAAATGTACAGCAAAATTCATATGAAAAAAATACAGAAAAATAAAATATATTAGACAAACGAAGGAAAAGTGTTTTCCATAGTAAATAATGATAATAATACAAAATTCATGTGCAAATGTGCAGATTAGTGTCATGATCAACTGCTGAAGTGAGTTGAGCTTTAAGTGCCCTCTCCTGCTGTTGAGCACTTCAGTGAACGTCTTTGGCAAAATTTCATTGTCATAAATGTAAACTTACTCATTCCAAACCAGATTTTCTTAAATTTGAAATACAAGCTGAACAATACATACCTTATATTACTTTCTCCAAAGCCAAAAAAGCTGTCAAAACAATGAGTATATATTCCTTACTTAATGTTTTGGTAAAAATATGTGCTCTATCCCCTGGCTCTTGTTTAATCTATTGTTTAAAATTATTACAATATTTCATGTTTATGCAGTTTGTTAACTGACATAATTATATTTGTTCTACTGTATATTGCATTTGTATAAACATAATTTTAAAGAAGTGAATGTCACAGAAGGTCTGTGAGAGCAGAGTTCATGAGTCTGGAGTCCAGAGATTTAGACTGAGCGTAAGAGAGTGCAGTGGCTGATGGGTGAACGTTTCCTCAACTTCCTGTCAAGTGATGACTCGTTGTGCGACAACTCCCTAGACAGTTTTAGGTTCCCTGCCAATGGAGCATCTTTGGTTTGGAATCACCCTTAAAATGTCTGAAAACCCTGTGTAGTCCACTTTGCAGGGAACTACTATGGCAACTGAAATGCACTTCTAGTCTTTAAACTGGAAGATCTCACTCCTGAGGTTACTGCGGCACCGCTGTATGAGGCGAGCAGGCCTGTGTGGACTCATGTAGCGATGGTTATTTCTGTCGTTTTGGGCCGGACTGTCCCTTTAATGCCCGCCTGAAAGGCTGGTTGGTGTGTCAACTGATTCACTTCTTGCAAACGCAGAGGGCGTGCACGCACGCGCTCGACTGCGCACGCGTGTTTTAAGACGTTAGTGCGCGTGCCCATTCACGCTCTCTTCTCTCGAAGAAAACTCGCGGGCTAGCCGGCGGTTTAACATACATTTCATATTAAAATGATTTGTTTTTTCTTAACTCTGTTCGCGTATGTTTTCAAGACAGGTGAGTACTTCCTAAAGACCTTTCACATGACATGTAGGCATGAATGTCTGGAAGGCTCGGTCCGTTGTGCCTTTCTGCACGAGGCTGAAGTTGGATTTTCGTTCGCCTTCTTGTTCGAATTTTCCCGTTCCACCTTAAATGGTACATCGCCCTTTTTGCCTATTTTAGTCATCTCCCTGGCGCGGATAAATTAGGAGTCTGTGTGCTCGGTTAGCGAAGCTGGCTACTGTGGAAAATGCGAATAGCAGTGCTGCTTGTGGTCGAATATTAGTGCAGTAAGTGTGTGTATACTTAACTCCACACCCTTAACCTACCTGCATTTCTTTAATTATCCACAAAGGAATTCACGCCATGTTGCATCTTTTTTTTCCCTGCATAATACTCATGCAGACCGCACAAACGCCTGCTGATCTACTGGATGTAACATTACAGCTCATTGAAATACAGAGCAAATCTGACTAACCTGGATTATTAAAGAAATATTTTAAGTTGGCTCGCCTTTACGTCAGTTGACATTGACTTATTCTTAAATATGTCAGAGGTGAGGCCAGCATCACGCTGATTGTTCGTTAATCTGCAAATGGTAGCAGATACATAACCTAAGTCATCTGAATTAAAAATAACACGTTGTTAATTGTTATTTTTTTACTAGCGACTTGTCAGAGTTCAGTTCGAACGAATCGGTTCGGTAAACTAAATCGCACTTCTGCTCAACACAGTTCACTTACAAAGAATCGGCTCCATAAACTGACTCGAAGTTCGCAGCACTACAGTTCAGTTCGAAAGAATCGGTTCGGTAAACTGAATCACATTTCCTCTATGCTACTGTTTGAAAGAATATGTTCAGTAAACTGATTCGAACTTCCACTTTCTGAAGTTCATCTGGAAAGATCAGTTCGGTAAACTGAATCGAGCTCCCCCCACACTACAGTTCACTCATAAAGAATATGTCCGGATAACTGAATCGAACTTCTCTTCACCGCAGTTCATTTTGAAAGAATCGGTTCCCAAAATTGACTCGAAATTCTCATGTCTACAGTTTAGTGTAAAAGAATCGGTTCTGGAAACTGAATCGTGCTTCTCAGCACTAGTGTCCGTTAATCGCCCCCGCTTTTTTCCTCACTAAAACCTATTAATAGCTTCGTTTCTCTGATTGGCTCACAAGCGTTTATCCCCCGGTGTACCCGTGACCCCATTGGTCAGTCTGTGTGTCGGAGGGCACGCGCGAGACGGCCGCAAGCAGCATGGGCTCCAAAAGGTCACTCTCGGACCCGAAAGATATTTTGGATTTAGGAGCGAAAATTGCCCGAGTCAGTGAAGCAGGTACAGCGAAAAGAGGCGCGTATGTGACATTTCATGCCTCGCCCTGCCTTATTTCGCAAACAGAGAGCGCTCAGTCCGGGTCGGCTACTGTTATTATCATCAGGCCATCTGTTCAGTGAGAGGCGAGTCTCTTCTGCCTAACCCGTTCTGTAATAGGTTTATGATGTGGTATTAGGTTATTAAGGATGTAGCCTAGTTTATCTGAAGTCCGTTTGTGAGTGTCTGTTACCACTGCATTCAGTCCTGTGCATTGTCTTAGTTACAGTTTAAGTCATGATTAGTTAAGTAGGGCTGTAACGATTCACAACATTTATAATTGGGCTCAGTACAATACAGCAGTGTCTCATTTCAGTACATTTTTGGTACAGGAAAAAGGAGTGCCTGAAAATATTCCTTATGGTAACATTTTCTACAGTCGTACAGCGACTTTATAGTGGCTCAGCAGAGTTTTGCGTGATTTGTGACTGATGCACATGGCAGACTGCAGTTTGTGCTTTCTGCGTCTGGTTATGTGCACATTCCTGTGGTTCACAATAAGGCTGTAGAATATTGTGAACAAGTCGCTTTATAAAATGCTGTGTTCTTGCAATAAATATTGTACAGTTAGACAGCAATAAAAGAAGTCAGAAATTGACATAGAAGAACTGTTCCTAGGTGGTCTTTTTTCCCTCTAGCTAAACAGAATCAGAATCACTGTATTTGGTCAGTGCACATATCTATGACAAGTAACATACTAAACGGAGCAGACAAGTACACAGACTATAAACAGAAGTGTTCAAAATATGATGTTAAATAAGTATAAAACAAATTTAAAAAAATAAAGGAATAAGAATCAAGAGTTATGTTGTGCCTTGTTCTAATGTTCATGTTTTTGGTAAATTAGATTTGTGTGTTAGAGTATTAGATTGTGGCTGGAACAAAACTCTGTGAGGTGGCTGGTCTCCAGGGACAGGGCAGTGTTAGGCTAGTATGTAACTTGTGGCTGATGTGTGAAATTGCAGGATGGACTGGAGTGAACGAGCGCACCTTCATTGCTGTGAAGCCGGATGGTGTGCAGAGGAGGCTAGTGGGAGAGATTATCCACCGCTTTGAACGCAAGGGCTTCAAACTGGTCGGCATGAAATTTCTGCAGGTGAGGGATCTTTTCAGAAAGTGATCTTAAAAAAAAAAAGTTGCCACATTAGGATTTCTATGCCTCCCAGATTGGTGCTAGTGTTTTCCGTTAGGAGAGAAATTTCCTACATTGGAAATGGAATATTATTAATTCATCATTTATATTGATCATAAATGGCATGTAGTATAAATAACTCATATTTGTAGTGTGTGGTTTGTGTAGGCTTCTGAAGAACAGTTGATGGAGCACTACTGGGACTTAAGGGGGAGGCCGTTCTACAAAGGCCTGGTCAAATACATGAGCTCAGGACCCATTGTGGCTATGGTAAGATACACACATTATTCCTGAATTTTCCCTCTTCACCAGACTGCATCCTGTGCTACAGCTGGATGATACCGGTTCTCAATTATGTGTGAAAATACTGTAGCATGTTAAGTCTGCGTGTTTGTGTATGTTAGGTGTGGCAAGGTCTGGATGTAGTAAAAACATCCAGAAGAATGCTTGGAGAGACAAATCCGGCTGACTCCCTTCCAGGAACCATCAGAGGAGATTTTTGTGTGGAAGTGGGCAGGTAGGCGAATCTCGCCTGATTACATTAAATAGAGGTGCACCATTCATAAAATTGAATGGCTAATGCCTGTTTTTTTACAGCCAAATTTACCTTATTAACCAGTCTTTTTTTCCATTACTTCCTACTTAGGCGAAGATGCCAAAGAAATAACAGTATTAGCTCCAGAATTTTTAATTATTAAACGAAAAATTTGTTGCCTATTTAAATAACTTGAATAAAATAAAAAGCTACATTGAAAGTAAGCGGCAACTAGCTATTTAGCACCATCAGTCATGCATAATTATTTTACAGCGTTTTGGTTTTGATGTAACAGTAGCATTCAAATATGGCATGAGTGCCCTGACTTGGCTCACGTTATTTATAGCATAAAAGTGCAACACAGATCAGCCAAAATCAAAATCAGAAATGTGCTGTTTGCCGATTACATGTTTGGAGCAACAATATACATCTCTAATGTTGGGTAACTGACAATCATAAGTCGCCCTAGATACGAGCGTCGGCTAAATTACTAAATGTATATGTATGGGTACTACAGAGCACTGAGACATATAGCTAAGCGTTATGAAAAAAAATGATCACTTTAATTTCAGAGTTTGAAAGTCAAGCAGCTCAAACTGAAAAAGCCTCAAATACTATGCCTTAAATAGGAGGCAGTGACTTTACATAGCCGAAGTCATACATAGATACACTGCCTCCTACGTACAGAAAGGCACAGTTTGCACAGACCCCAGGGCTACAGTGCCATCATTTGTTTGTTTGGATGCTAGTCCAGAGTGTTTCAGTGATTCTGAAGTTGTTCCATTATAGAACCAGTCGGTGCTGTAGTAAGCGTACAGGGCATGCATGCAAATTGTATGTCTAACTTGGATGTACTGAAAGGCCCTTACTGAACTGCTGTGTATCTGTATTGTTATAGGAATGTTATCCATGGTAGTGACTCAGTGGAGAGCGCGCAGAGAGAAATCTCCCTGTGGTTCAAAGAGCATGAGCTCATCTGCTGGGACGAGAGCACTGAGCACTGGATCTACGCGTGATGCCCTCCCCTGCCACTCACACAAACACATACAGAGCTTTGCGGCCTTACGCATTTCTAGTGCAGCCCACAGAAATTCTTTTTTTTTTTTCTGAAGTGGAACTCTACTGCAGTATTGGCACAAAGGCCTCAATATCAGTAGAAGAAATTGCCTACCACAAATCTAGTGAATAGCATGGCAGAGGGTATCCTCTGCTTCCAAAAGCCTTCTGTAGAAAGATTTGGACCTGTGTAACTGACCCTGGTGCATAACCACTGACCAAAAATTGCTTTTAAAAAATATCTCCGTCTAGATGACTCTCCTCCGTCCTCTATGTATGTATTTGATGACATGTTTACATTTATGTGCATATGATGCACACTTTGAATATCATGTTCTTGCACATCATAAAGCAATATTTATGTATTTGTCTGCTGTTACCTTATACATTGCTTTTGAACGAACAAATATATGTACTGCACTTGTAATAATGATCCAGAATCTCCAAAAAAAAAAAACAATATAGTGCATGCTACTCAACTCAATTGAGATTCTGAAAGCAAGGCACTGTTATGTATTATAGACCACCTCAGCAATTTTGTGAACTATCCATATTTTTAAACATTTTTGAATACTACCATGCTCTGACTGTTGCATCATCAGCAACATCCAGCATCACATTTTGTAGCACCTTTTGTAGATAATTAAGACTGTAAATGTTATGCCTCTGGAGGAAAATGAGAAATGCAATAATGAACTCAAATGATGAATGAAGCAGACTGGTCTTGCTATCTAATTGCACTACAGCTTTGGCCTCTGGCATTATTAAACATGGTGTTGTTTTAATTACAGATTTAGTTCTGTATCCAGTTCTCTGTTGACCAAAAGGTGTCCAGTTACAAAATAAAGGGTTTTCTAAAACATTTGAATTTGTTTCTATTAAATAACGCTGCGAGTTACCATTTAGCTGTGTCAATTAACGGAATATTCATGTAGCTTAAAAGCTGCAAAAAAAGCTAAACGATATCTGAAAATAAATTTTTTGCTGCAAACGAAAGTGTGGATCAACACCATGGACCTCATTTATAAACCTTTATGCACACAGATTTGTGATTCAGTGCAATTCATGAAATTAGTTTTTTATAAACTCATTGTATGCAACACTGAGAACGTATTTTAAGAACAGATTTGGAGTGAAATTTGAGTATGTTTTATAAATGGTGTCCCATGCATTAAAAAATCTAAAATGCACATTTGTAAAAGGTGCCCGCAAACATTTATACACAAGACAGTAAGACAAGACAATCTTTCCAGAGCACGAATATGTTTAATATTTAACCACACATAATAGAACAGATAGTGGCAAGTTACATACAGAGCAATTGGGCAGGGCATTCATCAACTGTCAATCAAATGGGCAGCCAGTCGTAGCCTTCAATGAGCCTTTGATCCACAAATCCCAGTCAAGTGGGACAATGAAGCCAGGCAGCTCACAGCTCACTTAACTGATTACATATAACTTTCTTCATGATTAATTCTTTATTTTCTTGAAATTGATTTTACCTGGCATTTCAATGACAAAACTTGAAACCTTTGAATTGTTTTGTGAAATTCTACTGATAATTCATCTGACAAAATGTGCTTTCTTATCGATTAAACATTTCAATTCATTAGCCATCCACTGTCTCCTTTCCCTCTCAGTCACTCTCCTAAGGCATTCTTATTTAACCTCAATATTTACATTTTTTACACATCTATTTCCATCACTCTGTATTGCATTATAAACATGCCACCAAATACAAATCATAGAAACCAATGAGCTGCCTTTCCAGTCCCTCTAACCAATCACAGATCCCTATCCTTGAATCACTGTCCAATGAGCTGCCTGTTTCTATGGAGATTAGTGAGCTGTGAGCTGTTGGGAAGTTAAGAAATAAAGCAATAGGGTGTTTATGTATTTGGCAAAAAAACTGGGTCATTTTTGGGGAAGGTAGTTGTATAGGATGCTTTTATCTATATCATTTGTAGTTGCCATCCAGCTGTAAGATGCAAGAGAGTGTTGAGATGTAAGAGAGTGTTGAGCTGTACCTTGCATGTTTGCATTGGAGACGGGGGCAGTCACAGGGGAAAATATGTGAACATACAGGGAATCGTTACAATTTGGAGAGGGTAAATACAGGCCTTAGGGGGTAGTTACAGAGCTTAGGTACAGAATTTTGGGGGGGCATAGTTAGGAATAGACAAGGTTTCATACAGAGTATTTGGGGCAGAGTTACAGGGAGTGCAGGCATAAGGTGTCTTGATCATGTTACTCAGGGACATAAGACACCTGCCAAACAATGATATGGCTCCTCTCGGCTTTAGACAATGCTGGCTTGATCTGAGGGGCTTCACCATCTCCTTCTTCCGTCTCATCATCCTCACCATCGCCTGGGATGAAAGCAACGACATATGAGATACAGTATCAATATATGACGCACATAAATTTGCAGATTTGTTAACACATTAAACCTTAATAGTTTGTATGTGGGTCCACACTTCAATTTCACTCATAACTATAAAGTAGTATATACAGTAGTTCCTATTTAATTTACAGGACTCACAAAGTAATACTATACACAATATATACTATGTACTACTATGTACTATATTTTAAAAGTATACTATGAATAACTAAATATGAGTATGTATACAAAGAGTATACATATATATATATATATATATATATATATATATATATATATATATATACGCTCTGTGATCACTCTGTGTGTACGTGAATGTGCCTCACCTATACGGAAGTCAATGTACCCCTCCCCTCCGCTCAGCACCAGCACGTTATGAACACTCTGAGCTTCACTCTGTGTCTCCACTGGGGCCGAGGACCCCTGAGACTCTGACGGACTGTCCAGCACACTGCCGTTCAAGGTGGCCAATACGTTGCCTGGGATAAACATGACATTACATACACTCTGAGCGAACAAAAAACTACAGATGAAGTTTTAAAGAGCATTTTCTCGTATTTTATTTTTGCATGACCATTTTCCACCAATTCCAACTTGGAATTAAACAGACTGTTTTTGTTACTGTGACTTTGAGACTCATATATATAAATGATTTGATTGGCTGCCCTGTATTGTGTGCCATTCAAAAAGCAGTCCAGGCTGAAACTCTTCTTACAATTTGAGCATGAAAGGGTGGGGCTTTTTTTTTTACATAAATCCAGTTTTTTATGATATGTACTCTGTAATTATATCGCACATTGTGTGTAAAAAGCTTGGGACACATTTTGAGATGTTTTGAATAAATGAGCATGTTTTCTTTGTCAGTTTACCTATCATTAAACTGAAAGCAGTTTAGATCCTTTTTTTTTTCTAAAAGTACTATCTCTGAAATAATTCTACACCCCACTCATTTTACTCTTCCCAGTGATCTCAATGCTCATTATTATTAGAGCAAAACCCACTCCTCAAACCAAGGAAGACATCAACATGAAGCGGATGAACATGAGGCAGAATAGCCACAGTATTATGGAATAGCTGTTTTGTGTTAATAAAACGTTTGCAGGTATTTTTATTGCCTAATTCGAAAGTAACAGGGACAAACATTACTCAAAACACAGCAACGTGTCCCAAAACATTTAATAGGCAATGTAATGTTATCTTTAAGTTCTAAAGACAGATAATAGCTGAAGGAATTATTGGTGAAATGATGAGCAGGGTTAGCACTCACCTGGCACTGACACGAAAAATTTGACTGCATCCCGGTGTCCATGGAAACAGAGCTGAGCCTGAGCCATGGAGCAGTACGGGATGAAGCTGCCATTTCCTTTCTCTGAGTTACCATCATCTGCGTATACATGGATCACACCCCCTGACGATGTGGGAGACACTTTGTTCGCTGGAAACACAACATTAGAAATTTATCAGAAACACCAAACCTACTAATAAAAAAAAAGGTAAGAGCAGACCAGAATTAAATAAAAAAAACAAATCCAGACTCTGAAAGAGAGCACTATGAGAAAACGGTCTGAAAGTGAAACACAGGGATGGTCAAAAAAAGTGTCTCTTATGAGGGATGCTCTAAATGCAGATACAAATCCACGTACACACAAAGAAATACTGTTACACACATCGTCACTGTCATGAGAAAAACTCGCATCTCTGGAACGGTAACTTTACAGGACAAGGACAAAACTCTTCTAACCTAGCCTCTTTCTGCAGGACTAATAATAGTATATTATTTTATATATTTGAGTGAAAATAAACCTGGTTTCTAAAATGTTAATGCTGTTAATGCTGCATTGAAAGGGCAGCACATAGTACACGAAAATCCCAACCTAATGTTAGCCTTTAACAAAAGGTAGCTAGCGTGCTAGCACTGGGCATTTGGACTCCGAATAGCTATAATTCAACAGAGTATTCTTATTTTATGTTCTCATTAAATTAGAGGGGCTGCTTTTACCCAAAAAGGGGGGCTACGCAAGGGCAAAGCACCCTGATGTGTTGCTCTCATCTATTGGATTTGTACAGCCATACAAGTTGAAATCACCAGAGCCAGAATCCAATTCAGAGCCGAAGGACACTGACCTACCCGAGAATCAACCTCATTCCTTAGAATGGTAATTTTTTTCTCCCACTTATGCAAGTTAGCAATAGTCAAATCCCAAAACAAATGTCTAAATTTTTTGCATGGATTTTAATTTAAAAACACTTTTATAAGTTTCCACTTTCCCTCGTGCCTAAGACGAATATCCAGTTTTGTAATCATACCCATTTTCATCCAAATGTATTCCATTAACATCTCTAAAGAAAAAATATCGAGGACCTCCAAAACAGGTTGAAATGACATTTTATGGCTACTGTGAAACATCAGTTAAAATAAAAACTTGAAATATTTACTTATATGAACTTCTTTTCGTCTACATGTCATAAAATAAACACAAAATGTGAAGGACAGCTTTTTCGCATGGTGTAAAAAATAAAAACGGGAAAAAACAAAATTACAAGGTTTTCCTATGACAGTGACAAAACACATCACATGAAATAATATTACAATTATGATGACAAATCATCAAAAGAAACCACAATGCACAAAATGAGAGAAACACTCAGATTACAGAATACTGAGAAGAAAGCGAGCAGGAGAAAAAGATGGCAGATGCAGTGACATGAAAAAGGGAAGACAGACGGAACACTCTAAACTTACCCCTCAGTCCGAGGAGCTGGCCGCGATGCAGGACTACAGCTACAGGAATAAGCAAAAAGAGAGGAGAGGATGGCAACATCCATCAGACAAGGGTAGGAGTAGAAGCAAGGGTCAGAGAGAAAAGCAGTGCAGACACATAACAGGGTTAACAGAAAAGAAATGGGGAAAGAAGTGATAGGAATTACAGAGCTGAAATTAGAACAGATTTGAAGAAGGGAAAAATGGGTTGTGTTTTATACAGTAGACAAGGAACATGCTTGTCTTCACAAGCTTTTTTGGGTGTTGTGCCTAAATGAATAGGTCAGCTAAAATCAAATATACACAATTTTCCCCTTATCTCAAATACAGTCAATCAAACAAAACATGTTTGGCTGGGACAAAATGAACAAAAGTAACAGTTACTACTGTTTTTAGCTATGCCATGTACTTCTGTCAGCTTTCATAGATGTTGATAGGTTTAAACTCATCTATAGGAAATTGTAAAGACATTTTACATGTGTCCAAAATGATGAATAGAGCTGTAGATGATTATGACGAACAAGCTGTAAAACATTGAAAATAAAGTTAATAATCAAACTTAAATGAGCAAAACCAAAGGAGCAAACTTTGACCAAACATGTGATCTGATTAACGACATTTGGATTAACAGGAAATTTGTCTAAATCTGATTTGTGGCCGAACCATTATCTTAACTCGATGCTTCCTCCTAGGTTTCTGTGCATGCATATGTGGGTGTTGCTAAGCAAGACAAATAGAACAGCCACTGAAACTTACTCTCAGTCAGAGGAATCGAGATGACCACTCCATTTCCTGTTCCCACCCACAAGCGGTTACCTCCAATCAGCAGGGCTGTTATCCGGACAAATGAAAAGCCCAACTTTCCTGTCCCTGTAGATCAAACCAAACAAAACAGAAGTCAAACAAGAGCAATCCAACAACTCACAGCTCATTTATCACAACGGAAACAGGCAGCTTATTGGACAGTGATTCAGCGATAGGGATCCTTTATTGGTTAGAGGCACTGGAGAAGCAGCACAATGGTTTGCATTATTATTAAGCACAGGTTTGTCATGGAAATTCCAGGTACAATCAATGTAAATAAAATAGTTTAAAAAGCATAAATGACACCACAAAACAAAAGATAAGACAAGAGCATCTCAGCAATATCAAGAGCATAAATTGTCTGAACTGAATGCAGCACACTAGGGTTGGGTGATATGGCTAAAATATAATATCATGAGATTATAACTTCATGAAATGTTAACGATACACAATATATATCACAATATTTGTTTTTTCAAACATAGGTTATGTTGGAATTGACAAAAAAACAGTGGTGCTGCATTTAAAATATGCTATAACAAACTATGAGAACAATTTTTGCACTGTACTAAATCCAATTAAACAGGAGCAATTAATTTCTTTATATTATATTACATATAATATTATATTTATATATTTGATTTATATTTCTTTATAATTACTGATGATATCCATGACATGTTCAGATAAGGACATTTTAACTCCTAACTCAGGATCATTTGACATTTGGGCCAAAATCCACTTTACAACCCTTACTGCTCATGATTCTATTTTCAAAATCAGTGATGTTGCCAACACTAGATGATGATAGTCATATGCATACTGTGACATTAAACCCTACAATGTGAATGTAGACTTCTGGCATTTCAGTGTTGTTCAGTTCAATGGATGAGTAAAGAAAATGGAGAAGGTTACCAAGCATCTTGCTGACGTAGGGCTCGATGTCCACATCCTGCAGGTGCTGGTGTGTGAGCGCGTGGTACAAGCGCAGCGTGGAGTCCAAACGGATGGACACCCACACACCATCTCCAATCCACGCAAGCTGCCTGACTTGGCTCTCCCTGCGCGGGTGAGCGTCAAAAGATTTCTGCCAAAGCGAAAAGAGAAGAGAAAAAGGAGTCAGAAAAAGACTGAAAGAAAGAGGGAATAAAATCTCCCTGTTAGTTGCACAGCATGAAACATAATACACACATCTGTCAGCTGCAAGAACTTACTTCAATCTGCATGCTCTTTGGCTGGATGACATGGATCTTGTTCTTGTAGCCACACCAGACCTTGTCATGCACCACAGCCATGCAACGGATGGAGTGGTGTGGGCGACCCAGGTCCATCAGATGATAGTTAGACAAGTCCCACTGACCATCTGTGTGTAGATCAAATACGCGCACACATACAACTGATGAGATGAAAGTCAATAATCTTTCCAGACTCATCAATTGGACACAAAACCTGTATAGTATTGTTTACATTATCATTTACAGTTTTTTCTACATTTATGACCTAAAGTTGATATGACTGATTTTCAGAGATTGAAAGGTAGGTACAAAATATCACAAACCTTCAGCTCTGTGGAAAATGGCAAGAGTTCCATCTGCCAACGCTACCAAAACCCTTCCTTTAACATGCCTGACAGGAAGAGAGAAAGTGAGAGAGAAAAGAAATGTTACACATAATGTCTCTCAACACCTCTCTCAATATCTACAGTGTTCACTGAGAGCACACTTACACTAGACTGAGGACAGAGTCTTTGAGTTTGATGGAGTGGAGACACTTCTTCCAGTTTGCCACTGCAGAATGTACATACAGCCTGAGGAAAGAGCCAGAGATGTTAAAAAAGAAAAAGTGTGTAGATGTGTGCATGTGCTTTAGGTAGAACAAGCTGAAAAATCCTCTTTTTTGACCAAGAGCTACAAAATATTTTTGCTGTTTTGTCAGATTTCATCAGTGATTTCAAATTTGATTTTGAAATGTATTTGTGGCTTTTAGTTTCAGTTTTATAGGTCTCTTCCCATTCAAATAGATGTTCTTGTATAATCGGAAATAACTGCCCAGCATTGCCAAAATGGCCGTTGAGTTGACAGACTTTCCTGAAGTGACTTTGACAGAACGCACAGGTATGTTACACACCTACTTCACATCTGTGGGTGTTATACAGTGATAGAAACCATGCTAGTACAAAGAAAGGTCTAATTCTATGCTACTCTGGCCAGTGTGGCCATACTGCTCTACTGGGAGACTGTCTGAGTTAAAGGGGCTGTCACCAAATCCTCTAAATGGATAGCCAGTGAGATGCTTGGTTCTAAAGGGTTAATTTTTATACTTAATATTTTGAATAATATTTTGGTAAGAGAACCGGCCCTTGGGTATTTTGATATTAAAAAAAAATGATATACCTCTGACTTTTTGAGAAAGTGAAACCTGTAAGTGAATGTGTATCTGTGTATTTGTTTGTATGATGTGTGTTTGTATGAACGTGAATAAAACACTCACCAGCCATTCTGTGCACCAAGCCACATGGTGGGTGCAACACTGGTACCAGCACGATCGTCTCCACCCTGTTCTGAGTCTGGGGGCGCTGATGTCACTTCCTCCTTTGGAGCGCCGCCCTCACTAAGTATTTGGCAGCAACACATATAGTACATCATTTCTCATCACACTGCTTTGTAACCTTCCAAAATATTCAACCTAAACATTAAACAACATTAATCAAGAACTCACTCCAGCATTTCCATGTCATAAACACGTTATTTAAATAGGCAACAGATTTTTGTGTAAAAAACTTTTAATACCAGTTAAGCCCATTAAAAAGCAAATAATGTTACTTTGGCTATTAGAAAGTATTGGAAATGTGCTACTGTGTCCTACTGTGTTTTCATGTAACCCACACAGTGTGAGCTTCGGTTTAAAAAATAGACTAATGAAAATCAGCCAAAAAAAGAAATTAGAATTGCCATAAAATTTCATGATTGGTATATCCCAAATTCTAACAAACAGCATGACCACAGTATAATCATCTACTGCAATTTTCCACAACACATCAAAATACTGTACAATACTGAGGTATTTCACACAAGCCCTAAATGTCCTGCAATAAATCATTATCACCATCATCATTGTAAGTGTTTACTTGGGAGGATGAGCTATTGAAAAGCGACTTATTAGTCTGTGCAATGAACAAAAGTATTTATTTTATTTTTACAATTCCACAGGACATTTAGGTGACTTGGAGCTGTTTTCACACCAAGTTTGTTTGCTACAGTCTGAACCACTGTTTAGGTTCTTGTGTCACTGTATCTTTATCATTTGGTTTGGTGATTTCACACTGGCACGGCCAAAGTGGTTTTGGGTCAGAAATTTTCCAAGAGCCAGTACTCTCACAGTTGCCACTATTTACTTTGCATGAAAATAGACACGTTTAATGTCTACGTATATCACAGTCAAAGCAAAAATAATAAGCCTTACTTAATATCAGCGTCTTTGATTGGTTTGTCAATGTGCATGTAACCAATCAGGTCGCTGATACAATGTTCCGCAATCCATGTGCCAAAATAAAAGGCATTGCTTTACTATTATTTTATTGCTCGTCTGCCATTGTTATCTGCAGCTATTGCTACAAGAATGACATAGAGTCTATCAAGAGTCACATGTAAATGCAGACAAATTATACAGACAGCACAACGCTGATCTGCTGCTAAAAGAAGCAGCAGAACATGTTCTAATGCTGATCCCCCTCATTTGGTGTGGAACATCACAGAAATGTGTTCCTACTAGCAGTGAAGTGAACCTGGGTTCATTTGGAAGCGAACCTATACCCACAATTTTGGCCAAAGCTCGGTTCATTTGTTTAGTGTGCACCCAGGTACAGGTGCAGTGTTTATACCTGCCAAAACAAACAGAACTAAAAAACTTTAATATGTCTGCACCTATCAAGGTAGGTGTGAAAGCACCCTCAGTAGCACAGCAGAATAATATAAATGACTACAATGCACAACAGAGATCACAAACTATATATTAGGGGTTTGGTGAGAGTCTCATAGTGGAATATAAAAAGGAGGCTGACTTGCGTCATGAACTAAGGTAAAGCCAACATTTGAGTATCATCAGCGTAACACATCTAAGCCATCTGTTAGGCCTCAAGCGTAACCTCATCTGTTACACTTCACTATAAGATCATCATGGTTCACTGTAAACAGTTGTACATAACTATCACAATATGTAAACTACTATGTAGACACTACAGTACATTTCAGATACACTTTCCTACTGTTAATCTGTTCTATTCAAAGGTGCTATCACACCATTAACAAGGATCCCACTGCCAGGTATGTTGCCATGGCTACTGATATCAGGAAGCTGAACTGGCTTGTGTTTCAGTCAATGACAGTGGGTTAAGACAAAGAGAAACGAAAGCAGAAATTTAAGACTAGTGTCTAGTCTGACTTAAGCCATTCTGATCTCTCCATGTATGTTTGAACGAGAGAGGATGAAATGAAATGTGCATGTTTATCACCTCTGTGAATTATCAGTGAAGACATGCTCAGTAAAAGGGCCAGATGGAGCAGAGTTTTCTCCCCCTTCACTGGGGCCTGTTTCTTCTGACACCTCCATGGCTTCTGTGGCTTCCTCCGCTGACTGAGAGACAGCGAGCCGACTACACACAGGAGCTGTTGGTGCTGGAAACACAGACACACACACACACACACACACACACACACACACACACACACACACACACACACAAACAAATAAACATACCATGAGGAATACTGCACATACAACAGGTCTGTAGTCAACCTCCATCACCAAAACAACCACAAAATGGTGTAATTTCACATTATAGGCAGTAAATATATATATGTATATTTAATTACTTCAGTAGTACAGAGTATTGAAATATTCTGTTATTTAACACTGAATTTCCATACTTACGTCAGCATTTATGAGCCAATAAGCATGCTTGTTTTAAAATCTAGGCTGGTGATTGGCTGCCTAAATTACATTTCATATGCTTGTTCAACATTCACTGTCTATTTAGGAAATCATTTTCCATAACTTTTCCAGGACATAACCCATGACTTTCATATACGGCAGCTGTTTTTCATGAAAGGTCATTAGACTTTCATCTACAGTCATCCTTAAAGTGGAGTTCCACTAATTAAAAAAAATTAAGCACAATTAAATCATTGAGATGTAAACAAAGTCATTTTGATGTGAGTTTGATGTGAAATTTTTCATTGTTTTCATTGTAGAGAAACATGGATGTCTTTACAGCAGTGGCAGTAGGAACCAGGGATCGCAGTTCCATTATATAACCATTTTATTTACTCTACAAAAGACCAGTGAACGTGACAAATTTTCTGAGTTTTTATTTATAGTTTTGAAAATGGTAAAACAGTGATCAATCTGAAAAAAAAAAAAATTTTTCTTGGCCAGTTTTCTTTTCTTTTGTCATACAGCACCCTACATGTAACTTTCCACCATAACTGGATTTTATAAAATATTTTAGGCTAAAACCTGCGATGGACTGGTGACCTGTCCAGGGTGTATCCTGCCTTCCGCCCAATGACAGCTGGGATAGGCTCCAGCACCCCACCGCGACCCAGAAGGATAAGCGGTCTAGATAATGTATGTATGTATGTATTTTAGGCTAAAAGCTTACCTGCAGAATGTAGCAACACATTCGTAACTATTTTGTGTAATAACTTTCTGTGAAGGAGCTTTTAGAGGTATTAAACTCTTCATATGTCTGATTCCTATCATCAACACTGTGAACAATTCTGATTCTGTAAATTTCTTTAGATTGGTGCAGTTTACAATTTAACCATTTAATTCGAACAACTGATGGAATTCGCTTCATTAAAGTCAATTTTGCAACCTTTAACAACTCCTTGCTGAGTGACGGACACTTGGGCACACACACACACTCTGTATACGATTCCCCAACCAGTTACCACAAATTTTACTGAAATAGAAACGAACTAGATATCATTAAAAAACTTTCTACTAAATTATAACAAAGAAAAGATGGTTAAGTTTAAATTGTTCAACACTCCTCCTTGCGTGTACTACTGCTTTCAGGGACTATAATATAAAAAAGAAAAATTTTATGTTTGTAAAATGCTAGTATCTTGGCCGTGTTTCTTTTGCAAAATTCCTTTTCCAAATTATTTCTAAATAAAATTCTCCTGATAAAGTAATATCCCAATAAAGTCAATTTAGGAAGGTAGATAAAATACTATTAGTAAATGTATGTATATCTGACTTTGCTGGGTGAGAGGCTTTAGCTACTGTCCTTGGAGATGAATTGCTGGTGTTGCATGGCCTACACATTGGTATGTGTTCATGCATCCTTGTTCTACAAAGCACTCTAGTAGTGTTCATTTATAGACGTGAGACACAAGTCCACATGCAGTGTAAAAATCTTCAATAGACAGGGCATCAGCAGCTAAAATATGCTATCTCAGAGGCTTACTATGCCAACTATATACTTTTACAGGACCTCACTAATATTTCCGGGACATTTTAGCAGTTCTCATTTCCAGGTGTTTACCATCCTGATGTTATCAGGAATTAGTATTAGTATGCAGTCTGTTACAGTCAGTAAACACATTTTTCCTTTAAGCCACACCCAATTTTCATTTGTAATTTAAAAGAAAAAGTATCATTCAGGATTTAACATCAAAGCCAAGGTATAGCTTTTAATATTAGTATAGATATCAAATTTATTTTAATAATACCTAGCTCTAGTTATAGCTATATTTGTACAATATTTTGATACTAAATCCTATCTACATATCTATACTTATGTCATAAATTATATTAAAATTCATAATTAAATATTATGTGATAATAGCAAAGGTACAACAAAATGCCAATAACTTTGGGCTCCTGAAGTTTAAGATATTTCACAGTTTTTTTCAATAAATGCTTTATTTTATTCACTCAGTTCTGGGTATGTAAGTATTACAGTATGTGGCTTGCCTTGTCCTTTGTCCAACACTGGTGTGTCTGTGCGTGACGAGCAGTTACTCCTGACCACGCTGCAGTTGGTAGCGCAGCCAACCAATGTGATACCTGCTAACATGCCCTCCACTCTGCCAGTCTCCTCCGAACCACCATCACCCTGCTGCTCCAGGAATATCTCACCTGCAGGGTAATCACTCTCACTGGCCGCTACACAAACACATACACAGTCAATATTAGATAGATTCATTGATAACTAGGGATGCACGATGATATCTGAATCCTATCAGATTCCGGAAGATGATTTCTTAAAAATATCTGCATTTGCTTATATATAACCTTCTCCCAACCCTAAACACTCACTCAAATGCTAACTTTAAAGGTAAAGGGGGGTGAATTTGAATAAGGCATGCTAGATATTGCAGTGAGAGAAGAGTTATGAACAAAAACACAAAAAGAATTCAAAATCGTGGATTCTGTTAAACTGATGAGGCTGACAGATGCTGTGCTGTGCTACAGAATATTGACAAACATGACAAATAACATTTTAAATGCTAGCTTTAGGCCAAAAAGCCCCTTTAAACTCAATCCAAAACACATCCCCCAATCTGAATCCTAAAAATCACTACAGTTAGATTAGCTGTTAGATTTTTTTTTTCCAAGAGGTTTCCTGTTATGCAGAGACAGAAGTCAGATGATAGGCAAAAATCTCAGAAATCTCACCTGGAACACTGGAGATGCAGAGCACGTGGGCATTACACACATTAAACTGGTCAACTAGTGAGCCGGGCTGGTTGGCATCAATAATGACCACCTTACTGGCTGAATGAGTGCTGGTAAGAATCCACACACGGCTACTCATGGAATCTGTCTCATGTAGCTCCTTAGGCTGAATGAAGAGGGAAGAGAGAAAGAGTGAAGATAGAAAGAATGCTCATAGCAATTTTTTCTAAACATTGTGTGACAGATTTTGTTTATTTATTTCAGTTGCAAGCTGTATGCTGTTATATGTATCTTAGGTTGATTGGTTAACCTAACCTACGTTTTATTATAACTATAAAACTATACAGGGGGTGTTTTATAAAGCAGGATTTCTTGGTAAGTTAGAAAACTTCATCCAAAAATTAGGACTGTCTAATAAGAACCACACTGCCCTCCTCCTATTAAAATTAACTACAGAAAAATCCTGCTTTGTGGAAGTCTCCCCATGTTATTGCACGTGTTAATGTTTACCTTTTTCTTCTCTGGTGAGCTGTGCTCACTCTTATTCTCTCCTCCCTCTTCCTCTCCTGTCAGAGGATCAGTGCCATTGGCTGGTAGCTTCACTGTTGGCTCCTGACTGGACGTCCTCCAGCCTGTCAAGTCCACTCCAGCAGCACACCAGAGCTACACAAAGCCATATGTGATACATCTTTAGCATACATGTTCACTTCAGTACAGATTTGCCAGATGTTTGATGTTCTCATCACAGCTGGATGTGTTTTACCTTCCTATTGGGGTCTTTCTCCACTAGGGGGCGGCAATACACGGGCACAGGGACATTCTTCATGCGGATGTCCTCTTTCTCATTGGCCTGCAGAGAGACAGGGCAGGGACATTCACCAAGCAGCCAATAACAATGCTGCTTCAAGCCACAAGTAGAGAAGGCCCCGTGTCGGAAGCCCCATCGCAACCTGCTTAAATTGGCCTTGCCCCAGAGCAGAAACATAGACAGAGACGCAGAGACAGGGGGACACCCTCGGTGGCAAATAGGAGCAGCAGGTTAAAAGGTCGACTGTAGTTAGAGGGTTAAAAAACATACACACATGCGCAATAACAAGGCGTTAATCTATACTGTGTTGTCAGCCACAGTGACAGAAAGAACAGCTGATCCTGGCTATGGGATTAGACCTAATGACAGTTATGCGGCAACATGTCTCTAACAAATAATCTGACAATAGGTGCCATGAATAAGTTCAATATTTGAGCAAGTTGGAAATGCACTGTAGTACTTGATTGGCAGACATTTATGCTTCAGTAAAAGCAGTTTGTGCATCTTTACTGTGCTGCTAGGTGGAGGTGTTTTTGCAAAACTGCAGCCAGTTACTGATCTTACTCATTATCAGTACCGTGTTAAATCCAGCAAAGAACCTTAAGGGATCTTTGTCACACCTAAAGGGGTTGGGGCTGTGGTTAGGTTAGGCTGCATGGCAGCCTGTAGCGTTTGATTTGGGAGTTAGGGCGGGGTTTGGAGAGGGGCGGGGCGGGAGAGGTGCATGCTGGTCCTCTGCCGGTCGGACTTGCCTGCGGCCTCTTTGCTGCGGCGTCCTGAGTGCTGTCCGCCTGGGAGCCCGTCTGCGGGAAATCACAGTTAGAGCCACGGCGACACACTGTCACCACTGGCAACCCTGACACACAAAGTTCTCACCAAACTCTTACTGCGGATGCTCCGAAAACCAGAAAACAACTCAAACGTAACCAGTCAACCTCTACCTGCTAGCATGATTCTACAGGAATCACGATGCTGTTGCCATGGAACAGTTCCAACTACATCTGCAGTTGCAGTACCACTGACAACAGGAAAGAGCTGTTACCTTTGACTCTATCATCCTTATTGAGCAACCAGTTCAGATTCATAATGCGGACAAACACCAGGTAGGTTAGTTCAAACATATGCAGTGGAGCATTCAGCCCTTATCTCAGGATCTAGTCGCTCATTCACAACCTCCCTCCCTTTTCTCTGCTATCTGGTAGGGAACCTCACTAGGACATGTCCCAGCATAGCTGCTCTCTTTTTCTCATTTTCAGTTTCACCTCTGTTTCTTCATGCTAAGACAACGGTGCTGTAACTGCTCGCTCTCTTCTATACACTATACTTCCCATTGCCCTTTGCCTGTCTCTGAGGCTTAAAGGGCCCATATTCTACATTTTAAAAAAAAAATTGTTTAGCAAAAACACTTGTAATTAATTTTTTCCAACCTCACCTTGTGCCTAACAACTAAACAGGCTGTTTTTGTTACTGTGCCTTGTTCTGTTCTGAATGGTTTCCTTGCATTGTGCCTTGTTCAAAAAGTAGTCCTGAAATCTATGGAACACACTTGAATCCTTATGGCAAAAATTTCTGCCACTCCTTTTTGATGTCAAGATCGTTTGGACAAGAACACTTCTTATCACGTCAATATGAATGGGCACAATAAAGTGGCATAGGCTGAATAGGAGGTCATATGTAAATGTTCATGGTTGTGACATCACAACCTTGACACACTCAAAGTGTGCTGCTTTTGCAGCTTAGTTATATAGGCTGTATGGGCAAATAACAGAGGGGTAACTTGGACTTCTGTAAAGCTGCTTTGTGACAAAAGCAGCTGTAAAAAGCACCATACATACATACATAAATACATTTTAAATTTAATTTGAACTGAATAACTACAAACTTTAACACTGAAAGTTTTACCATTTTATATAGCACATCAAATTCAGTGTTCAATGCTATGGGTCCTCTAAGTTTTGTTGCAGTGAAAGTGGACTTCCCCTCACAAGACGGAGCCGCTTCAACCTCCAGAAACCAGCAGCGAGGGTGGCGGTGAAAGGTGAACAGTGGAGGGAAGCAGGAGGGACGGGGGCACTACCTGTTTAAAGCGGGGCGGGACACTCCAGCCGCAGGCCTGCACAAGGCCATCGTCCCGGCGCATGTGCTCACGGACCTGCCGATACTGCTCGCGACGCTGCTCCCGGCGGGCTGACAGCGCCGAGTCGCTGAGGAGAGACGCAACACCGTTACTGGGCAGTCTATGGGAGCGGAGAGAGAGAGACAGGGGGGGCAGCGGTCAGCGAAAGAGAGCGCCAGAGAGCCAGCCAGCCAGCCAGGGCCAAGTAGGGCACACAACAGAGAGAAAGAGAGAGAGAGAGAGGGACGTGGAGCAGTGGGTTACAGGTGAGACAGAAAGGAAAATCACACAGCACAGGCACGCGCACTGAGCAGACAGATGCTTGAAGAAGCCCAGCTGTGAGCGTGCATGCATAGGACTGGGACTTGTATGTTCATTTGTTGAGAGATTATGGAATGAGTGCGTGTATGTTTGTATTTGTGGGATTTGTGTAGCAGTAAGGGCAGCACAGCATTGCGGAAATATTAGCTAGCTCAGAGGAGGAAACAGGGATTGTGAGACAAAACACACTTAATACATATTATGACAAACAATTATAAAATGACTCAAAGTATGTCATGAAAAAGATGTGTGAACACAGTAGAGTCTGTGGCTGACAGAGAAATACAAAACGACTGATAGCATGTGTATTATCTGAGTGTTTGTGTATTTGTATATGTATACGTGTATATGTATGCATGTGCATACAGTACTGTGAAAAAATCAGAGAACACCCCTTATTTATTTAATTTCCAGTGAAAGTGGTCATTAAGTTAATGTTTTGCAGAAAATTAACAAAAAAAACTGTAGCCTCAACAACTAAACACAATTTTTTTAGTATTCAGTGTGTGTACTCTCGTATTTATTACAGCTTCCATTCTTTTCAGGAGACTTGCTTGTGGTTTCAGAATATTTTTCCACATCTCCAAAATTCAGTCTTAGAAGTTAGTTGCATTTTCTGCTTTTCAAGTTTCAAGTAATCCCAAACACACTCAGTAATACTGAGGTCTGGACTCTACAGGGGTCACTCTATTGTTCTGAGAACATCAGCAGCTTCTTTGTTTGATTTGCAATTTTTTTTGTCTATTTCCTTTTCTCACTAAGGGCTTCCTGACAGCTACTCATCATTTCAGCAACGTTGAGTTGTCTTCTCACAGTGGAAAGACTGAAGAATTTTTTCAGGTCTGAAGCAAGAGCTTGCACAGTTGTTAGGAGTCTCATTTTCTCTATACATTTCAATAATGTTTTGAACTCCAGTTCAAAACCTTTTGCTTAATTTCCTTCAACTTTATATTTCCTTAAATGGATTATCTTTTATAATCTTCTTGAAAACAAATAACAAATTGGCCATTTTGACTGAAAATGAAATTAATGAAGGGTTGTCTCTGATGTTTGCAGAATACTGTATATGTGTGTTGTGTCTCTGTATGTATATAAGGGATGGGCAATATGACAATATATTGTTGTTATCATGATAAATTACATCACAATACTCTTTTATATGCATTTCATGAGCATCATCAGTAATTAAAGAACACTGAACAACTATGTATCATTCCAAAGAAAGAATAATTAGTCCTGTTTATGTGGTTTTAGTGCAGAGTAGTACTGTACTTCATAATAATTATAAGTATGTGAAATGTTACTCAGTTTTTATAGCATTTTTTTAAATGTGGCACTTCTGGTACATTTTGTCTGTTCCAACTTATCAACAATGTGAATATCTTCAACTATTGGATATTATATTTTTGCCGTGTCGCCCACCCCAGTACTCATGTGTGCTGCATGCTCTCACTCTTCAGGGAAGAACTCGAGTGTGCGGTTGGAGGTGGAGATCTGGCACATGGTATGCGAGCGTCTCTGGTTGAAGCCTGCAGGTGAGGGGGATTTGTAGTGGATGTTGACGCTGGTGTACGGCCGCTTCACTGGAGGAGGACTCGCAGACGAACTGAAGAGACGTGCAAAGCTGGAGGAAAAGAAATTTTCTTTAAAGCAAATACATGATTACAGCTTTCACTGTCAATACAAAACGGCAAATTTTCTCAGTGACTGCAAAAGTGAGGCTCATTGGAACTCACAACTGCCAGATGGTCGATTTCTTCTTTTCCTGGATTTGAGGACTCTCCCTGGAAGCTCTGTGAGGGGATACACATGATCACAAGGTTATGAAGGAGTGTATAAGCATTCAGATATGAAGAGGTGAGCATGGCAGAAGAAGGATTAATGTGAACTGAACCATGTCTATTAGAGCTAGGCCTTCACTTCAGGCCATAAATATCAAAGCTTGGTCAAAAACACCACTACAATAACGCTAATTTCTACTGGGATCCCCTGTGGGATTCTAATATCGTGTTAGCACTGCACACTTTTTTTTACTGTTCCAGATTAAACACATACATTGTAAAAAACAGTAGCATATATCTGACCTTATGTACAGCAACTTTACAGAATTTTAGCATTTTCGGAGCCCTGGCCTAGAGTTGCCGTTGTTTTCCATTTCTAACATCTGAAAATATGTCTGTTTCTTCTGTCAGTTCCTATTTATGTTGGTGGTTAATCTGAGAAGTTAGGCCTCCAGTGCAGGTCCTGATGTCCTAACCAGTGGGAGAGTGTACTTTGTATCTACCATGATACCACTGGAAAAAAAAGTCTAATCACATAATTTTCCTTTGAGCATCTTAAGAATTCAACCTTTTTGTTTTCAACTTTACAAAAAAACTTTACAATAAAGTAAGTATTAATACATGCAGACATATATGTATATTTATATACACATACGTGTTTATATGGGTATGTAAATATACATACATATCAGTCCATTTGTCATAAAATGTTCACATAATATAAAAGACAGCTAGTTTATGAGCTATATATTTCTCAGAACATTACTGATTAAATGTGTGCGCCTGTGTGTCTGAATGACCCTGACCGGATCATTTCGGTCCAGCGGACAGCCTCCTGCAGCTCCATCAGCCTCTCTTTGTACTGGTTGCGCTCCATCAGCACCCTCGCCATCTCCACCCGTGTGAACCTGCGGCGCTGAGCCATGGCCACATCATCCTGCAGTGGGGACGAATACTGCACCATTCACACACAGCCCAGTGCAGAGCCACACACACCAAACAGCAATGCAGGGTTAGTGCTTTAGAGCTTCAGCATAGCACAACACGGATGTTAAAGCAATGAAACTGGAGATTAAACAGCAGATTTAACTGGTTGTGAGATCTGAGATGCCAAAGCAACAAATTTAAGTAACACTGTTATAAGCTGTGACCAGTTAATAACCTTGTTATGAGATTTCATAGTTTTTAAGTGATAATTTTACACAAATATCTTCTAAAAGTAGTTACACGCCCCAAACATGTTTGGTGTCTGAAGTTTGTTTTGCTCTCCTTAGTTTTGCACTGGAGCTACAGGACCAATGTAACTAACTGCAGCTAACCATATGACACCCCTTATTTGTCATGCATGTTCGTATGTGCACGGTCCAGCTTCTGATGTCTTGATTGATTTGTGGTGAAAATCTTCACTGTTGCGCAGTGTAATGAAGTAAGTGAGTATGTGGGTTTAACTGGGTTTAAAAAGGCTTGTATTATTGGGTGGTGTTAAGAATTTTACTTACATCTTCTCCTCCTTCATCTTTGGAGTCCTGAGATGCTCCTAGAGCCTCAGCTCTCAATCTGGAGAACAGTACATGGCTGCAATCAGTCACAGTCTGACAGCCATGAACACACTACAGTGCAGAAATGCCCAGCCACAGATACAGACACAGACATCCTTATACTACCTCTTCAGCTCTTCCTCTAGCTCCTTCACTCTGATGTCCACTTTACTCTTGGACTGTTTGACTGCTTCCAGCTCATCCTTCAGAACCTGCTGCTCTCCTGACAACTCGTCCACTTTGGCGATCAAGTCATTCTTCACAATATTCAGAGCGTTCCTACGCAGAGTGGAGAGAGTGAAAACACGCATGTGCAAGCATATAGCACATGCACTATTGTTGAAAAGTTTGGAATCAGTTTTCTATAATGTGAACCCAATTTTTGTTGTATATACAATTAAAAAACAATACTTATATGTCGCTAGTATGTATAAAAATATTCTAATATGATGCTAGTATGCCCTGCGATGGACTGGCGACCTGTCCAGGGTGTATCCTGCCTTCCGCCCAATGATAGCTGGGATAGGCTCCAGCACCCCACCGCGACCCAGAAGGATAAGCGGTTTAGATGATGTATGTATGTATGATGCTAGTACTCTACAACTTTAAATAATTTGTAGGTTGCTGTTAAAGATATTTTTACCCAATTTATTACATTATTAAAGCATCCAAAAATACCTTCCAGTGTCTACAGTATTTTAGTCAATGCTGCAGTTATTACTGAATAAAGTAACAGCAATTAAAGGACTGGCAAAAATCTAAAATCAGCCAAGACATGCTTGGTGTCCAAATTTTGCTTCTTTATTTCAGTAAATATATTTATGGAAAAGATTTGGGTCACTATCAACTTCCAGTGTTTATTAGCAACGTCAGCTTCAAAGCTCCGATGTGAAACTAAAGAAGTAAAATTTGGGCACCAAACATGTCTTGGCTGATGGACTACAAATGAAGTAAGCAGAAAATTCTGTACATTTGATTTTTTGCACACAAGAACTCGCATTTCTTACTTGGTCTCCAGCAGTTGTTTGTTCTCTGTGAGCAGATTCTCCACCTCTTTGCCCATCCCTGCAAAACACATTACTACCATCAGTAGAAATCTTCAGAACAGAAGCACATCAACTCTTACAGAGCAGTTCCATGATTACTTTTCATTACAATAATATGATTTTCACTGGCATTTTAAGTGATGTGCAAATGTATTCTTTTGGCTCAGTACTACTAAAAGCAAACTTGGCTTATTCTAATTACTAAGGACATTATTTCCTGATCAGGGTATATGTGAAGGAACAGGAGTGGCACAAACACAATCTGACTCAGGAGCAAGTTGTTATATCAATATGAAAACAAGACATTTATACTGATTACAAAATAAGCTGCACATATTTATGGCATACTTAAATATGCACAATCAAATAGACAACAAAGCTGGCCTGTCAGAAGCACAGCACAAAGCAGCCTCAGCTAAAGGGGGATTTTGATGCCATAGCAGAAGCACTGCAGGAAATGACATCACAGCATAAGAAGTGAGGGGCAAATATCACACAGAGGTGTAAGCATGGGACACTGAAAACAGACACACGAAGAGTGGAATTAGGAGGGCCAGAGCCTTACCAAAGAAATCATCCCGCACTGAGACAGCGAAAAAAAGGGGAGAGGAGGAAGAGGCAGGTACGAGAGGAAAGAGGGAGAGTAGAAAGGTGGAGAAAGGAGAAGAAATAACGAGAGAAAAATGAAAAGAATACCATGGTGGAACGAAAATTAGGAGAATGGGGATGGACAGAAAGAGGAAGAGAGAGAAAACAGGGGTAAGCATCTGTTGATAAAAAGTTGTGTGAGGAGGGATGTCTGTTAACACAAACACTCACATACGCAGACACACGCGCACATAATAATTACTCAAATCCAACCAGAATTGCAGAGGAGGACATTTTAGTAGTCGTATGCAAAAGTTTCGGTGTCCCTGGCCAAATGACATTTGACTTTCTAAGTGAAAATTAGTTAACACATCCTCTACAGAGAACACACTTCTGCTGATTTTAATGCACAATTACTGTTTATTTGCTGAACTTTACATATTGGAAAAAAATACAACATAAAACATGGCCTGTGCAAAAGTTACAGTTTATAGTTTAAACTTCATTTTTTTAAAACTCAGAAAATAAATAGATATTGTTGCAGTAAAAGTGTGTCCTGTGTAGTGGATATGTTAACTTAATTTCACTTAGAAAATCAACAAAACGTAACTTGACCAGGGGTGTTCAAACCTTTGCATACAGCACTATGAGAAAATAATCACTTTCAAAGGATTCCAGTAATCCTGAACTCTGAATATGCAGACGCTTGATCTTGAATATGAAAATCAGATTCATCTGCAGCTACTGAAAGGTCTAACATTTCAAACTCTGCTTGACTTTTCTTGGATTTTCAAAACTATTTTAAGTTTTAAGTTGGTGAGGAACATGGAGAGTAGTGTTAATATTTTGAGCTGTAACACAGGCTGTCACAGGTTTCTCCTGATCTAGAAAATGCTGAACGAACACTCTACAGCTCTTAACATAGAAAAGCTTAACATTACTTCATGTACTAAAACAGCAAAGAAGAAATATCAAACCTCTCTCACATATTACTGAGTCTCTCCACTGCCAAAAAGATGAGCCTGTAATCTAAAAATAAATAAATAATTTTTATGTTAAGCTATTTTTCTCTCCATTAAATCTTATGATGAATTGGCATGAGATCGTTGTTTAGCTTCTTAAGCCGCGTTTCATGAATTAAGCATAGCTCTCAGCAGCCACAACGTGCACACCTCCAAAATCTCAACTACGCATCATGCAAATCTGACGAGCTGTGCATCATGCAAACGCTAATCTTACAATCTAATAAATCCATTAATCAATTTTATTAATGTTCACTTCCTACCAGATCTATTCATCTATTAACCTATTAATTTTAACTCATGTAATTAGCCCATTAATGTTATTTCATACCAAACAAAACAAAGTGTGAAAGTGTAAAAGAGTAAAGAGAAATAAAAAAAATATGAACCAATCAGTGATTGGATACACACCTGAGAATTCCCCTAGCGGCATGGCCAGGAGAAGCACACACAGGAAGGAAGCACAGAGAGGGGTCAAGGGTCAGTGAGTGAGACGGCCATTCAAATCAAAGCTCCACCTTCACACTGAGATAAACAAATCAAATGAAGTTCTGCCTTCACAGTCAACTTAAAACAAATGGAGAAGCCCCAACCCAAAGATGTACTGAAACAAACCAAGGCGGCACACTTTCATCCAAATGTAATCAAATGAAAGCTTTCCCTCTTTTTGCAGTAAAAATGCATTTGATGATTGAAGGGGTGCTGCAGCCATGGGGCAAGAGTGATATCCCAGCAGCCTTTGCAGTGAGGGAGCGCAGTTACATCCATTGTCCATCACACAAGAGGTCATGCAGGTCAAGGTGCAAATGCCACAATCTAGGTCTACGACACATCAGGCCATTGCTTGCTTAGCCATTATTGGAAATAATGAAAAATCATAAATGCAGGTTATGAATAAAACATCAGCCACACCTTTTACCTTTACTGCAACAGCACAGTAAAGGTAGAAGGTCTAAAACGACATGAAGCCAGCTAGACCAAAGCTTACCGAGCAGCTCCGCTCCGGAGTCCACATCACCGATGATGCCACACTTGGCGTCTTTGATCTCGTGGTAGAGGGAGTCGGTGTTGATGCCGAATGCTTCATTCACTATACCCTGAGAGGGACTGCGAAAACAAAGGGAGAAGGAATTCAGTAAAGAAGAAGTTACCCTTCATTTACTTAATTTTCACTGAAAATGGAGTTATGGAATAACTGAAATTTGGGAGGAGGACCATGCCTGACACCCCCCTTCCTTCCAATCAAACACCCTATAAAGTCCCATCACTACCTTCCGTTTCCTGTGATGAAGTTTCCGCAATTCGCACCACCACCCTCTTCCCCACCCCTCCCTGTTCCTCATCCTATCAGTCCTACCACAATTCAAAAGGGGAGTCTGGCCTTCTAGCTCCAGGGAGAAGCCATGCAGAGCTCCAGTCCAAGTTCTCATCAATCAGTCTTCCTTCATCATACTATCATATGTTGAAGGCACAGTCTGAACTCGCAAACAGCCATTAAGCACAAGTTATTTTTTCAGTATTTAGTGAAATTTGTCACAGCTCTCATTCCTTTTGGACGCTTGCTTTTGGTTTTTCAAAGAAATCTGCAGGGATATTCTTGCATACCTCTAAAGGTGTTTCTGCTTCCACAGCCTGCTGTTCTACTACGGCAGGAACAGTTTGCCGTATAATAAATAACAACATCATTTCAACTTTATTTGAAAAGTTCATTAAATATGAAAAACTATGATGCAAAATAAAAGAGAACAAATTGTTTTTGGGTACTTCTGTGCGTATCTAGGCACATTTGCACAATGGTACAAATGTCCATATCATTCTGTAATATACTGTAAATAATAGTTTATTTTATGTTTCCTCTGACCATGTACATATGTACTTCTAAACATATTTATCTCTTTTGGCTCACATTTCACATTGGCTCTGTTATATCTACTCTACTGTCTCTTATTCTGTTTATTTTCTAGTTATTCTGTTTTTAATTTTAATATCTTATTAATATTTTGTTAACATCCCATTTTTTTAAATATCTGTCAATAATGTATGTATTTGTCTGGTCTGCGAGTATTGTTAAGATTCTGTATTTTTGAGGGTATGTTAAATCTAGTACTTTTTTAAGGTTATTTTAAGGTCACTTACACTGATCATGTATACAGTCAGGAAGTCTGCTCTATTGTAATTTCAATAGCCTCATCCAGTATTTGGGATGTTTCACAGCTCCTTGTCTATAGCCAATCAACATTCACTGTTGAATCATCTAGACTGACTGGAGCCTGACTTCACACCATAATGTCTGTTAGCTGTACAGAATCCAAACTAGCAGAAAGCAGAATTCAGTGAAGCATCTGGTGCTGAGAATCTCCACTGGCTATTGTAACTGCAAATAAAATACATTTTTATGTCATGCTTGTTTACTGTGGAGCCTGCGAAAGACTGCAATCTAACTGTATGTTATGTATCACAAATGTGTGTACTCACCAAGACAAATTCCTCATATGTGTAACACACTTGGCACAACAAAGTAATTCTAATTCTAATGTGCTCTTTACTGTTTTGGAACAATCAAGAGTTGAGTCCACCCCTTTAAGATTAGAAGGAGTACTATGTTAGGACAAAAAAGGACATTGGTATGTACAAACTAATATGAATGACTTGAGAGCTTTATATGAAAGAATAACAAGCAGTTTGGTTGCCGTAAGAACAGAATTCAAAACAGAATTTCTGCACAGGTACTAGATCACATCTAAGCAGGACAAAAAAGACAGTGGTACATAAAGTAATGCCATTTTGCAATGCTTGCTTTGTGGTAATGTAATTCCTGAAACAGTATAATGACTTGTTTTTTCTGTTGAAACAGATGTACACATGAATTCATTTGGACTGTACACACACTGAGTGTTTGTACACTTCTGTAAATGTGTGCATAGTCAGTGAACATCGTAAGGTTTGTTTTCATACCTGTTTCCACCGCCATAAATACGAGGATCCATGCACATGTCTATCTCTGGTGTGGAATCTATGATTTCCTGAAACTCAGACCACTCATCACTGCTCCCCATACCTGCACACACATTTCATTATTTTTTACTTTAATGACGTTCACATAATGAGATTTTATTCTCAAGGCCACATAACCTATGCTTTTCCTTAATGTGTTAAATTTAACTAATAAACATTAATTGTACATTAAAATGTACAGAAGTGTGTTTTCTGTAGAGGATGTACTAACATATTTTCAGTTAAAAATGTAATTTGACTAGGGATGCCCAATCTTTTGTGTATAACTGTTTTTATTTGTCCATCTGCTTTACCTAATCTTTATTTATATTTGGGTTGCACAAAGCTGTCGATGTGAGGAAATACAGCTGTAAACTACTATGACATGGCCTTTTTTGAGATTCTCTCTCTCTCTTTCTCCCTCTCACCGATGCTGACGTTTCTGGTCTCCTGGGAGACCTGCACCTCCATGTTTCTGCTCAGTCTCTTGGCGTTCTTGCGGCTGCGGCCCCGGGACACTTCAAACTCCCCAGAGGGCAGCATGGACTCATTGAGAGGCGTGACTGTTGCTGAGGGAACAGACGAGGTGGGTGTATTGCTGCCTGTGCTGCTGGGCGTGGCCGCAACGGAGTCAGACTCTGAGCCATCCTCCTTAATGAGAAGAACCAGAAACACATATATCTTATGTATATGAAAAACCTTAAAAAATATCATAAACACATTTTGATCTGATCTAGCACTAACTCCTAACAGGTACACGCACACAGAATTCACATGGAATGGATGCACTTTGATGTACTGCAACCATCCTTTAACAAAGAACCACAAATCAGCAGCCCTGTTTACACCTGGTCATTTCATGTGTCTTTGATCAAGATTATATCCAGATGGGGATTATTCACATAATGAATCAGCTGTAAATGCACTTAAGATGCATTTAAAACAGATTTAAATCTGACTGCTCAAACCACTTCAGGAGGCTGTCTGAGAAGCGTTTTAGCCAGATGTTATCCAGTGTACATGCATCCGTCTCTCTAAGTTATATCCAACAACTAAAATCCCTCCCAACACTGTGACAGCACCTCCCTCTGCTGTTCTACATAAGCAGGAAATATCACACTACAATACATTATATTTTAATGGACATGGTTCTTGACCACAATGGCTACTACATGAGGCTAATAATTTTAAACAGATTCTTCTTGTAAACATTGGCGTAAAGCTTGCATAAGGAAATCAATAACACCATGCAAAATTGTGATTTTCAAGGAAGCTTTCTGTCTTTATAAAAAAAGGACAAACGAGGAACAACACAGGCCAAAGATTGTTGCATATAAGCTGATTTGCATATTATGCACCTCACAGCAGTCAAACTTCTATCTGACTGACCAAAGATGCCTTTGACTGACAAGTGTAAATGGGGTTAGAATCTTATCAGGTTACAATACATGTACAAGTCACATGAAACGACCAGGTTTAAACGGGGTCAGTAACTAATAGTAACCAGTAACTAATAGTGCTCAGAGTCATGTGACAAATGAAAACAGGAAGTACACAGACAACAGGAAGTATGGATTTTTTCATCTTTCTTTCAATACAATGGCTCTCAGCCATTAGCTCAGGCTTAGGTCTGATTCTCACTAAAAAAAATAGATAAATAAAAATTGACTGGCCTTATATCAGCAGTTGTGAACATTAAAAACATTAAAACTGCTCTCAAAATAATGAACAGCGCTTCCTGAATATGTGTCTCATCCTGATGGTTCCAAACAGAATCTCCCCAGGATGAGACTGAACCTTTATGCTGCCTGTCTCTTTCTCTTCAGAGCGCATCCATACTTCAGTCAACAAAGCAAAAGCCAGAGGCAACAAAACCAGTCATGTTTTGTTGCCGAAAATAATCCTTAAAGTGGAAGAAAACGAAAATCAAAAGAACGTCTACATAAAAACCATCCACCCCCATAGGCCTGCTGGTGTCTGTATGAAAACTGCTCAGGAAGACAAAAACAACACCAGCGTGGAACCATTTGACACTTAAGAACTCGTTTGTTAATGACACGAGCAGGTGTAAGGGAGTGTGGCAGATGGGGCGGTGAGGTCACGACTCCTTCCCCAGGCGCAGGACAGCAGCATGTCTTTCTGAAGCACCTGGAAGCCAGGGGCGTAGACAGCTCGGCCCAGATCACTGGCATGCCAGGCGTCTGACGAGGTGGTCCTAGCCCCCCCGGGACCCCCACGTACCATACCATCCCCACTGGGGAAGAGACTCAGCGAAGGGGGGCGCTCCACTTTACTAAAGAGAGAAAGACAGAGAGAGAGAGAGAGAAGACAAGAAGAAAAAAGGGGGAAATAGGGATCAAACATGACATATAGTAATGTAAAAAGACTTCAAGGAGTAGTTCGGTGAAAAATCTAATTAACACAGTTTTCTGTTGCTAGTTGCTCAGCCAAGAAAGGTTTGGTGTTTTAAGTTAGCTTCTTTAGTTTTGCAATAAAGCTACTGAAAGCTACTGAAAAATTCAGAGCCGTTCAGTTTCAAATTTCGATACTGAAGCAGTAACTCTTGGCATCGGTGAGCCAATAAGCATGCTTGATCCAAAATTTAGAGTAGACTGATGTTGGCTGTCTAATTTACACTCTGTATACATGTTGCAAGTGATAATTCACAGACTTTTCCATTTTCTTGCCTAATTATATGTTTCGGATTTAAATAACTGTCATTCAAAATGTTTTATGTGAAGCAATCTGTTATAGAGACACTTGCAGAGACAAAAGTGCTCACTGTGGTGGTGATAGGAAGCAGACCTCCAGAGTTTAATGTCTCTAAAAACTACATTACAAAATTAATACATAAAATGGTTACAAATATGCTGAATGATGTATGATACATTGCTTTACTTCAGTTTTGAGCTAAGGTTTTGGCATAAAGCCTATATATTTTTTTTATTTTACCATTGTTAACACAACATAAAACTCATACATGGTCAATTATCATAGTAAATTGACCATTACATCAAATTGTATAGTAAACAAAATGCCTATATTTGTGTGGTAGCCATCATGACCCCTGGTTCCTATCAGCACCACTGTAAAGACATCTAAGTCAGTACGTTTATCTGCAGTGACTCGTTTCACATTGAACCACTCAAATTTTTTTTACATCCCTACCCTTTAACTATGCAGAAATTTTGAAAAATGGGTGGAATTCTCCGTCAGCGCTTCTTGATTGGTCTGTAATCTGTTCACCCAATCCCAGCACCATTTACTCATAATGCACCCCAAGACATTAACTGAGATAGTAATTAGCTACATATATACAAAATCATCATTATAGGGTATTTCTATTGGGAGTAGGCTGCCCCAAACCCTAACCCCTAAACTTTACTTGTAAAAATAATACTGACATTTGTTTTGTTTTCTGTACTGTCCCACGTTTTAATGTCACTACTGAAACACAAAGAGTTTTGGTTCATAGGCGGAGCTTTATTTTAGCCACTGCTCTGAAATTTAGACAGTCACAGTCAGACCTCACCATTTTAAAGTAATGTGTGTTTGAAAATCAGTGTGTAATATTAAGAACTGTCACTACCAAAGGCACATATTTTCTGCAAGTAAGTAAACATTTTTGTGTTTTAATGGAAAAATATAATTTTATGTGTATACACCTATTTAAAGCTAGTCACATTCTAGCTAATTTTGAGCAGTATTCAAAAAACGCTAGCTAGAACTGCAAGCTAGAGCTGCGAATATAAACCATCCTTGCCTTACCTATATGCTTCTGTTACCTGTTAGCTACTGGCCTTGTAGTTCTAATGCAAAACTAAAGAAGCAAACTCCAGACACCAAACATATCTTGACTGATCAACTACATTGTAGGAAGGGGAAAACTGTGTAAATGAAAATTTTCACAGAGCTACTTTTTAATTGAAGAACACATGGAAGCAAAAATTAGCAGAGAATAGGACACAAAAAAAGAAAAAAAAACAAGCATGGACACGCACGCACACAGAGGAGAAAGAGGTAGACTTCTCAGTCTGTGACTGGAGCACTGCTAAACTGGACAAGGTCTTTCGCTTAAGAGGGACATATCTTCCCTGAGGAAGGCTAAAATCTTAGCTGGGTTAGGATGGGGGGCTGATGTAGAGAGGGCTGTGGGGCATTTTTTACCTTTTCCTCCAGGTGTTGCGTTGACTGAGAAGACAAACACAGCAGTACACGCACAGAGAAAGAAAGAGAGCGGCACAACAAGAGAGATGCAGATTAGAGAGTGAACACACACAGACAGACACACTTCTCTTTCACACAACACATTACACACACAGTATTACACAACACACACAACGCATATGAATCATATTACAATCTAGGGACACTAAGCTAGCTTTACTAAAGGCATTATCTAACGCTCAAACTGCATTAGCAGATTATAAAACAGACACAATCAACAAATCACTACAGCTCTAAATGAAACTGTAATATAAGCATGTATATATGTGTGCGTGGGGGATGTACAGTGAAGGGAAACCACATGCTATATACAGCTCTGATTCATTAATTTTTTTGTGTGGGTTGTAGGAACGGAGGGTGACTGCAGTGCAATTCATTGATTATTGTTGTCAGGTCATCCTGCAACTCTTGGAGAGACTGCTGGCTTCTCTCTTACCTTCCTCATCATTGGCCTGAGAGCATGTTGTGAACTCTGTCTGGAAACGATTAGTAGTGATTCCACTGACTTTCCACATGGTCTTTGCTATGGCTCTATAGCTTTTTCTATTCGAGGGTGGTTTATTATGCTGTCCTTGAGAACTTTAGGAAGTTCCCATACCTTCACCATGAGTGCTACTATTTGTGTGAAATCTTCCCAACCAGTGGCACTATGTTTTGTAGTGGCATCAAGTGCAATCTGCATAATAACTTTTCTTTTTTGCATTCTCTCAGTTTTGTTTTTTTAAATATATTTTTGTTTACACATCTTTGCTGATCTTTGGTTATACTGGTTATGTGAAAAGACATTTTGTGTGAAATTTAAAGTGGATATATTAATTGAAAGTATGTCAAGAAACATGAAAAAGGTGCTGGAACTTGTTTCCCCTCACTGTACATGAATGGAAAGTGTATAAGTGAGGAGTAAGCTAATGCTTTTGTCAGACTTGAGGAAGAAAAATTATGCGTGGGCAAGAAGTGTGCATAATTGTGTGTCTGTGTGTATAGGCCAGACATGACAAAGCCTATGACTAAGGAGGAACTGACAAACTGTCAGCCAGCATCACTATCCAGCGCCTAGCAACACCATCTCCAAGACAATGGTCTAATCATGGACCATTTGGTGCTGTATCTTGACCTAAGGACTGAACCTGCCTATACGCACCTCATTATACAGCATGCGTAAGCTAAGATACAAAAACAACACAAACACCTACAACATAAAAAAACAACAACAGCAAACAACACAAAAGAATAAACAAAAATAATATCAACAAAGGTATAGAGCTTGAAAACATAAATAGACACACATTCACACAGACATACTGTATGTGCTCCCTCAGACACTAAGGATGGGCTTTGTTATTCATATAGACATCTGCACTCTGTATTCATTCATCAACTGGGTAATCAAATAGGGAAGCAATTTGGATAAGGCAAATGAGATATCTGTTGGAATAAAAACTAAAAGGGAATTCCATAGACTGTTCAGAATTCCTGCCTGATTACATTCAGAGTGCTTTTACCATTATCATCATTATATGTAAAACTCAGAAGACACATGTAGGTTCACTGGTTATTTTGGATATTAAACAAAATAGATACATTTGTGTTGTGGATATCACGGCCACTGGTTCCTATCATCACCACCGTAAAGAAATCTGTAAGAAGTCTGTAAGTCTCTCTATAATGAACCATTTCACATCAAACCTCTCTGAATGGCTTTGTTCTTACCTTAACCATTGAATCATATAAAAACTATGAAAAATCGAAAGAATTCCCATTTTAAAAAAATTATATGTAACGTTTTTGACTGAACATGTGACATAAAACTTCAGAAAAGCAGCTAAGCTATGTATGGAAATAAACAAATCAATGGCAAGTTTGTGCAAGTAATTGCTCTGTAGGTCAAGTGATAGTTTGTTACATCAAAAAAACATCAAAATATAAGATAAATCATTAAAATTATGGGTACGATGACCTAGTCGCTAGTAATAAATAAATATTATTTCTTCTCTGCTTTGGTTTTTACTTGGAGCAACATAAAACAATTTCTCAATGGCATCAAGTGCCATTTGTTTAGGAGCGAATAGCAAAAATAGTTAATGAATAATGCCAATCCGGATCAAACAGACCCACAACCACACTCACGTCCTTCCGCATCCTGTGGTTTCTGACTGGTTGCTTCCGCCCTGTTGCAATTTGGATCGTTCAATGTGTTCAACGTAGGTCTGAATCATCTGAAAAAGAAAAAGTGAACATCATATGAGCATACGTCTATGCATGTGTGGGGGCATCAATGCCCCTCACTGACACCCCCATCAGCATCACAACCAACTCATAAATTGTGGTGCTTATGTAACCTTATATAAACATAATTTGTCCCTCAGCATTGGTTGCCACAGTTGCCTCTTCGACTTATATTAGTTTTAAAGAAATCGGTTATTGTTTCATGCTGTTTCATTCGTTTGTTTCATACCAGCCTCTCACTGTAGCCTACATTGCTATCAGGATGACACATATAGTGTGTTTAATCTGCTCCCAGAATCCTGTGATCATTTGTCACAGCCTGAACGGTTAAATTTAAATCAGTGCAGAACTAAATAAATCAATCAATCACAAAGAAGCACAGATCAGGTCAAGTTTACACTATATATCCAAAACTTGACATCTGCTCATCTAACATTTCTTCTGAAAACAAGGGTATTACTAGGGAGTTTGTACCTCTTTTGCTGCAGTGACAGCCTCTACTCTTCTAGGAAGGCTTGACACTGGATGTATTTAGATGGATTTGATTGCTTTCAGCCACAAGAGTATGGATCACAAACAACACTCTGGCTTGGAGGTGAGTGGTATGTCAAAAAATGTACATCATGGAATAATTAAAATTTCATATGGCTTTGGTACATATCACCATACATATATTTCCAAACAAAAACCTTTCAGATGCTTAAGTAAATCTAGTTGTTATTGTAGATTAATAGTAGCTTATTATTCCGGGATGTCCCTTAACTTTTTATAAGAATTATTTTTAACCACCAAAGTAAATCTGAAATATTTTTACTGTGCGAAATGGTACAAACAAAACTGAACATTTAAATAAACGTATATCAACACTGCTTTCTAAAATTAGCCACACAGGCCTGGAAAAATGGTGCTACACGTTGTTTCACGTGATTGGCCTCTTATTCGGCAGCTTTTTATTTAACTTATCCCGCTCCACCTTAAATGGTATAACTGCTGTACCCTTTAAGGTGTAACAGGAATTTTGAATAAGAAGTAAACTTCAGCTTCATTGAATTTCTCAAGCCGTTTGTCCCATACACGCATTCCATATACTCCTTCAGACACCGCTGGAATTTGTACAATATTGCCGTCAGTCATTAACGCTTCAGATTGCAACCTTGTCTAAAGCAGCTGACAGTCAGGTGGCTTCTCAAGTGGTATGAGTAGTGAAAGCGTGGCAACCACTCTAATGTCCATGTTATGCTAAGGCAAACACTAAAAGACCAACCATGTCTTTATGTCCTACTTGAAAACAAAGGGGACTAATTCTGCTGCAATGGACTAGACAGCGGGAGGTGATCGAGGGTCTGCTGTTTTCATTTTCATTTGAAATGTGATTGAAACAATGTGTTTGTATGCTGCATCATCTGTGCTTATTTGTGGCAAACTGGTATAACAGTTATGACAAAACTCCTGAGGAAGAATCTGAACTGGTTTAATGGCCCACTGCCACTCCAGCTCATCCCTTGAGTATTGGATGGTTCTTTAACCCACCCATCCAATGAGTGAAGGGCTTTACATTCCTTCGGCTGATACATGGCATTAGGTATTGGGACCTTGGGTTTACGTGTAGCTGAATTCCCTAACTAAGAGAAGTGTCCGGATACTTTTGTACATATAGTGTATCTTTACTGTGTTGACTGTGGTACAGGTACGTCCACTGGGCCTATGCGGTACGTTAAGTCTCTCTATTTCCACAGAGCAGAATGGCTTAGGATAATAATTTCATACCAAGAATGTGAAACATTTCATTCAGTCATAGGGGAGCGAAAGGTCTTTGGCTTACTTTAAAAATATGCCAGGCCAAGTAAGTCCAGGAACACCCCCTCGTTTCTGTGGTTCATGCGTTTACATGTGTAAGAGACATACAGAGACAGTCTTACCTCTGTGTGTCGTTGGTGAAGAGCATTGTACTCCTTCTTCATGTCTGTTTCACGTTCTTCCAAACGAGAGACTATGAAAAGAGGCAGAAACAGCACTGATACAAAAGCATACTCCATAGGGGCACATATGTTTGTATGAATGCATATTGCAAACTCATGCACGTTGAGACTCACTCTGGTCAGCGTAGTTCTTGGTCTTCAATTCCAGCTGTTTTCCCTGTAGTTCTAGAAAGTCCACCTGTGACTGGAGCTTCTTCTTCTCCCCCTCCAACGCATCCTCAAACTCTATAAATTTCTGTTAATACGCAAACACAGTTCAGGAACAGTGCAATTCTGCAGCTAATACAGTGTATGCTCTTCAGAAACCTGTTTAAGACTTCAGTCTCACAACGTAGAGCTTGTGCAGAAGGGGGATGCCATACAAACAAACCTTTAAAACTACAGTACTGCACAAACGTCTGAGACCACCTTCTCATTTATTTAATTTCCAGACTAAGCACCCATTAGGTTCAAGTTATTCATTTTCCAGTGCCAGGAAAGACTTTTTTAACAGAGGACGTGTCAAACACAAAGTATAATATCAAATCAGTACTACTGACACTTTAACTCTTCCACTCATCCAATCATAAAACCAGTAAGTTCCAGCTGTGGCCACTCAGCAAAAGCATTTCCCAAAGGAGTCACTGTCATCATGTTCCCCATCAAAAAGACACTAACACTCTCACAAACAACTACTCAAATTTACCTTTCAAACATCTTTCTTATGTGCATCTAAAATGGCTACAAGAGATTTTTTGAGGAGATTAGGTATAAGATGATCCAAAAGCATTACGTAGGGGAAGGACAAAAGAAAATAAATGAAAAACCAGGAGTTCACAAACCTGGAGATCATGAAATTCATGAAAAAAACCCACAAAAGCTATAAAGAAAATGAGACTTGTGACAACCGTGCAAGTGTTGATACACCACTAAAACTGTCACCATCCAATAAACAGCATTTAAAGTTTTCATCTTTTTTTACCATCTATGTACCTCAAAAATACATAGATGGTAAAACAATGTGCACTAGAACTCTAAAACTGAACTGAGATGCAGAGTAAGGGTTTATGCTCATAAGTTCATAAGTTAGTGTAAACTTGTAAGTGGGAGTACTTGTATCATGTAAGCAGATAATGCAACCAACTTCTAATACTGAACTTTGGAGGAAAAATATCCCTGTCGATTTTTTTTAAAAACTGAAAGCAAGTCCCCTGAAAAGGATGAAAGCTGTAATAAAGTTAAAGGGTGGACACACTAAATATTGAAAAATTGTTGAGTGAACTGTACAAAATATAATTTCTGCTTCTTTTCCTGATGATAAAATTGTATGTACATTTTGACTGGAAATCATATAAAAGAAAGGGTGGGGTCTGATTTTTGAGAGTACTGTACAATATAATACACTAATAAAACTGTATAATTACATTAACAATTACTTTCTGCATTGACACGTTCTATACTACAATAAATTTTCATCAACTTCAAATCATAATAATAAGATATCTCCACAAATTCAGTGTAGACTGAAAGTTTCAAATCTTCATGGCAGAATTTCAGTGTTTCTGTGAGCTACGAGTGGAATCTAATTGATATAAAAATACACCATACACCATTTTTATCACTGGCAATAATTGCAACTTCTAAGGTTTAAGATGTTTGTTGAACTACATTGTTTTCTGCACACACTGCCCAAAGTGTAAAGGGTCTGACAGAGATACAGCAGTGATGGGGAAAAGACTCACTGCAGATTCCCCTACCAGCAATGTAATTAACATTAGCTGACAATCAGAAAACTGATTTTTTTTTTTGGAGCAGAAGACAAAGTACTTTTATCTGTGACGTATCTATAATACAGAGAAATGGTATTTACAGCAAACACCAGCAAATTAAATAACTGCAATACAACAAAGACAACAGGGGACTGCACTCCTAGCTTATCTTTTAATGCAAGATGTGTTTGTTTGTGTTAGAGATATATGAGCTGTCTGCAGTGTGTGTGTTCATATGCTGACTCTTTCTTAGCATCAGCCTTCACATAATAGCATTACAGAGCTAAAGAGAAGGCTGAAGGTCAAAATGAAGAGAGTCAAGATTCAACTGCTCACCACACACATACACACAGGTTTATTTTTATATCTTGTCAGGATGTGTGGCCATTAGAACTAACATTCAGCCCACAATTTTAATCGATTTGTGATATGGAGTTCACGATTTGGTATATATTGTTAAGATATTTTGAACAAAATTCAAATGAATTAAAATGATAACTAAAATCTTGTTGTTGCACAGCTTACAACTGACACCAGAGCTGGGAGGCAGGAGGAATGCTGTAGTAAGTTGTTGGTTGGTGCTGGTCATTTGCACTCCTGTAAAGTTTTCATTCGAAAACGTATATACATATAAATAACTCCAATCTGGAATTGAAACAGTTATTGGAATTGTAAAACCTAATCACAGATATGCACCTCCGTTTTCATCTTTAATGGAAACCTCTGTCAATGATCAAAAGCAGGTATCTGGATATAATAATTACACATCCTTATGTATGTAAGTACCTAGTTATGAGGGTGACACAATGTACTGTAACATTGTAATACAAAACTGAGAGAGTGTACTGTGGAGAACTGGACAGTCTATCAAGTCTCCCATCTGTCATATGTATATATATATATATGTAATCATCTATATGTAATAAATATATTTAAGTTTACCCTCAGTAACCAAAAAGGAATCAATTTGCTCTTTCAGTTTAACAAATGAAATATTGAGTTTTTACAAAAAATTTACACGTCTTTTTGTACATTTCCTTTACAAGCTTATTTTGTTTTGTTCTGTAGGTAAGCTGTGCTCTAGCCCTTTTTTTCCTAAAAAGCCAGGACATTTTTGTCCTGAAATTGTATGGACAAAAACAAACAACATACCCAGCTATAAATAAACAACACTAACACTAATCTAGCAATGTCTCGCACACACAGTCGATATGTGTTGATGGTGACTTGGAGCTGTGAGGGTTTAAAAGAAACACAATAGCTTCTTTCTGCAGCCCAGCACAGCCCACTGAGAAACTACTGGAATTCAGTAATCCTCACACTACACAACCACAGAGAGTCGGTCAGCAGCTTCAAAAACATGCAAACACACACACACACACATACACACACACACACACGCACACATACACACACACACACGCACACGCACACACACACACACACACACACACACACACACACATATACACACATAAACATTTCAAAATCTTTCATTTAAAACAGTTCACTTGATCCTACACATATTGGCATTGGATACACGTCATTTTATGCAGTATACATAAAATACATACATGCCCTTTACATTTTACCATACATGTAGTTTTATATAGTATATTTAAAACGCACACATGTATTCAACCATACATGTTTGTTACACAGTATATCATGACATCAAAACCATTTATTTGCCATCTTTTTGGCACCATTTGATGGCACCAGCTGCTCTTTACATTATGTGAAATTAATGAATGGGCCAGTAAAATGGCTCAAAATTACTAACAATTTATAAATCAATATAATTATTTTTATTTATTAAAGTTAATCATGTTTTTGCCTTCTCCTCTAAAATTACCATTTCAGAGATTTCAGGCTCTGTTACATCGCCAATTATATTTAAATACATCCATATACTTTTATCATACTTGAATATAGACACCTATTGGGGAATTCTGTTAGTTGTTTACAATTTCTAGATTTCTATGACGTTAACTTTTCTGAGAATTTCTATTAATTTCAGACAGTTCTGAAAGTGTTTTCATAATGATGATTCCAAAGTAAGTCTTGAAAGCCCAAAGGCATTACGCATACAATACTCCACATTCCACCAAAGTCCACAGACATAACACCTCACTGAACTAATCTGGAGACTGGAGACTTGTTAACTAAACACACTGTAGTCTGGCCAGATATCTCGTCTCTTACAATTCCAGTTTAGTAGCTCAATAAACTGGGATACAGAGATTACAGGGATACAATACAGATTGCATGGAATTAAAAGGTCATTTTTGACACAATATGAACTGCCCATATACTAACATGACCAAAAGTACAGAAAGTACCCAACATTGGCAGCTTAGCCTGGTAATGTGGAGAGACAGCAGAGACAGGCAGAGCTGTTGACACAGCATGTGTCATAATCATCTGTGAACCACTATTATCGTGTAAAAATGCAGGATGAATGAAACAGAAGCCAAATTCAGATTCATATTAAATAATCTCAAAGTAGTCTAGTCGTTGGTGGTGGTTTCCACATATATCTGCTTTATGTTGTAGGAGTAAATTCAATACAAATAACAAAAGGACTACACAGGTTCTGCTCTTTAGATAGACAGACAGACAGATAGACAGATAGACAGATAGATAGATAGATAGATAGATAGATAGATAGATAGGTAGATAGACAAATAGATAGATCACTATGTAGTAGGCCTGTGCTGGTAGCCAGTAACAGAGTCCTCTTATTCAGGTAACCATGTGGTAAATGGTTAAATCAGGTTAAGAGAAGTGATGTTTATTTCCTTTTTTTCTTTGCATTACCTTTTATTTTTTACAACCAGATTAAGACCAGATTAAGATTCTTTCAGAATGAAAAAATATAAATAATAGAATATAATTATAAGGGGGGGGGACTGATATTCATTTGTAGATTCATTCTTATTTATTGTACATGATACATATTCATAAATAACATTGTATTTTATAAAATACAGCATTAAATAACACATCGCCAAAAATATTCTGAATCATTATTAATTATTATATTATAGTCTTGGTACAACTTTGCATTGTGACTTGTGGAAGCAAAAAGAGGTTATTCTCTGTCCTTCTCTAAATTTCATTACACGGAAAAAACAGTAATCATAACATTCCGATCTGCCCAATGGAGGAAATTTTAATTTTGGAATGAATGTACATCAACAAACACATAAACCAGTTAAGACACCATAGAAAGAAACAATTAGATCCTCAACTGGCAGTGAACAGATTTTATTTAATGTAGGGAAAGTACTGTTTTATTCTGTTTTAAAGTATTATTGGCATTTATGAATAATTGAAAAAAATAAAGAAAAAGACAGAGTCACTGCACTCGGCTGGTCACAACAGCAACGTCCAAGTGCACCTTACCGAGACCAAGACAAGACCTATTATAGAGATCATTTATTTACTCAAGTGCTACAACACTAGTACATAGTAATCTTTAATC